CGCAGCCTCGTGAAGTCATAGTGTGCCTCATTCTGCTCCAGCCCTTCTCTCTTGAAAGCCATCTGCGCCACTCTCACCAGCTCCTCCTCAATCTCTTGTTCACTGAGCATCGGGGGAGGAGAAGTTACTTCTCCTTCTCCCTTTCCCCCTTTCCTTTCTCCTTCCCTCCTTTCTCTCTCTTGCCCTTTCCTTTGCTCTCCTCCTGTTTTCCTTTGGAGCCTCCCTTCTCGCCCTTCTGCCACGTCTTTTGTGAAGCCTGTCTGTTTTTCAACTCCTCGCGCAACTCCCTGTTTGCTGTCCTGCTCTCCTCCAATGCTGCCAATTGAGATCCTTCTTGAGGTGCAAGTTCGAGTTTCTGTGAAGCCGCCCAACTCTGTCCAGCCCCCAGGGCCTCTATACTCTTGAGGCGTTGCACCAGAATGTCCAATCCCAGTGCCACTTGTCCTCCAAGTATTGCGTCCGTGGCTGCACAGATGTTCAGGGACTCCCTCGCTAGAGGCGGTGACAAACGTTGGGACAACACTTGCTTGTGATACTGCAGGGCTATGCACGGCACTGCTCCATCTGACTCCTCTATCGGCAGCCCTTGCTGGGTGAGCAGTGACTTGGACATGCTCGATACCGTGTAGGCCGTCAAGGCCCCCGGCCCCCTCGTTGCAGCCCTCCTGATCTTGTGCGTCTCCTCGAACAGATGCTGCACCGCCTCCTCTGTGCTGCTCCCGTCCGTGCCGCTGCACGAGGAGCTCTCCGAATCCTCTTTGCTTCTGTTCCTCATGGCCCTTCTTGCCAGCCTCATGACTCGCTTGCGCGCTTTGAGACTGGGGTCCAAGCCAGTGAACTCGAAGATCTTCTTGAGGTCCTTTTTTCCTTGTACCCTGAAGCGCTTCGACTTCTTTTTCTTTTTCTTCTTCTTGCCTTTCTTCCTCTTCTTGGATGAACTCGTACTCGAACTGCTGACCTCCTCTTCCTTCTTCTCCTTCTCTCCCTCGTGAGGGCGTCCTGCGCCTACCCCCTTTCCACGAGCTTCTTTTTCTCTCCTTCCTGACTCCTCGGCCAACCTCCTCAAAGCTTCGCTTTCTGCCGCCTCCTTCAAGTTCTCGCCCCAAGCCGGGGGGTCGACCTCTAGCCTCCTGGCCTGCTTCAGGTGGATGTAGTCGTCGGCCGTGGGGCTGTTCGAACACCCCCTCGCACATAGGTGGCACCTGAGACATCGATCTTCCTGACCAGAGAGCCACCTCAGTAAACCCTCGTCCGAAGTCCCTCCGGCCTGCAACCTCAGCTCAAGTTGCCCTGCCACCAAGGAGACGCCCACAATCTCGCCTGTAAGCTCTACCTCTCGATCCCAATAAACTGCTTGTCCAAAGATCTTGGTGCCCACGGGGAGTTCGCTCACCGTCAGCCGATGGCCCTCTATCAAGCCTCCCTTCGAGAAATCCAAATCCTCAGGAGGAACAACTGCAGCTGGCCTGGCTCGAACACCGCGATCTCGCCTTCTATCCGCAGCTGCTGCTGGCCTTCTCTTGGGGGCCATTCAAACTCCTCAAATGCCCCGCTTCTGTGCCAGGAACTCCTTGAAGTAGCGCTGAGTCTCGGTCTTCTTGACTCCCTTATTCTTCCACTCCTGAGGCTTCCACTCCTCCTGTCTGTAGTCCCTACGCGGGGCCGCACTCCACCCTTGTCCTCGGCCACGACCTGGTGGAGGATGCGAAGGAGACCTGGGCCTCAGTTTGGCCGGGGGATCTGACTCTGGCCTCTGCGAAGGTCGAGGTTCCGGCTTCGATGCGGATGACCGACCTCCTGGATTGGAGTGATGATGGCTTCTCTCACCCTTCTCTTCACTGTGGCTTCGGCGGCGCCTCCGGCCTCCTTCTCTTCTTCTTTTGCTCAGAGTGAGGAGTACCTGGCTCTTCGTCCTCCCGTTCACTCTTGGCTGGCTCCTCTTTGGTCCTCTTCCTCGAATCTCTGCGGGGCAGTGGCTCTCTCTCCTCACCTTTGGCTTTCTTCTTTGGCGCTGTACTGGGGTGGCTGGTCGCTTCACTTTTGGCTTGGCTAGCTCCTCTACCCTCAGTCGGGGCACCCTCGCTGTCCTCAATCTTGACTTCTCGGGCTCCACTCTTCACTGACTCCACCTGCTCTTCCTTGGCTGCTACCTCTCGTCCTTGGTGTCCGGGTTCTGGAGCTTGTTGACCAGGATCACCTCCGCTCTCCCTTGCACCACCTGAGGTGAGGAGATCCGACCCTCGAGATGCCGCTCGAAGGTTGGTGTCTCGCCGCCTGGAGTCGATGAAGTCGCAAAGCTCACCGGCCAGCACCCTCAATCGCTCAGCGGCAAAATCCAAATACCCAGGCTCACGTGTAAAATCGCCAATGTGATGGCAAATACGATGTAGGGTCAAACACACGCCGCACCGGCAGGGTGCGGCGTGCCCCCACATCCGTCTCCCTTCGAGCCGGAGCTGCGAGGTTTGGACCTGATAGACCCTTCCCCTTTAGTTACGGGGGCGTTAAACCATATATATCTATTAGTATAAATAAGCTTCACATACTGCTCTGGTAAAGCAAAAGCCAAAAACACCAGAAACCAGCACTACAACAGATTTTCCTCCGCTCGGTGGTAGGTTCAAGCTTCGTCTCTCTTGTTAAAATATATGTTTTAAATGATCGTTTTTGGGGTGGGGCGCCCGCTTTACCAAAGCCCGCGCATCGGAAAATGCAGGCAAAGCCAACCAACACGCACAAAATTCAGGCAAGTGTTTAACAAACCTGTCTTTGCCTTACTCACCCCGCAGTGGTTTTCTGGCTCTATCAGGACCATTCAGGACCTATTATATATTCTCTTTCAGCTGGGTGCCCCAACAGCAGCTGCCGCTGCAGCAGCGCGGCGGCCGCCGCGCCCGCGGCGGCCGCGGCGGAGGGTGCCGCCATGGCCTGGCGGTCAACAATTCGGAGGCGAAGATCGGCTGACAGAGCAATAACTTATATAATATAAAATACCAAACATGTTTACGTTGCATGGTGCTGGTTTATATGGATCAACCGTCTACACAGCCGTCACGGTCACGACGGCCTCCGGGGCGCACCGGGGGCGGGCTTCGGGCCAAGCTGCGGAGACACGGTCTTGCAAGGAAGCCAGGCACGACTGACACTAGGGTCTTAAGTTTAGGGTAATTAATCAGGAGTCTCAAGTGTTAGGGGGGGTATCACTAATCAAGAGTCAACATTACCCCACATTCCTGAGTGAATTGAACAGTCATGCAATATGCGACTGGAATGCACCAAAGCCAGTTCCGACTGGGTCGCCGCAGGCCCTTCTCAGTGATCATCGTTTACCGATCTGTAGGAGAGGCCATCCACAACACACCCGGTCCCCGCATGGTGATAGACATGATCGTGTGGCAGTTCGTGTGGACATAAGTCAAAGCTCAGGGGTCCTGCATGACCACCAAATATGAACAAACTACAAAAGGGTCCACTGCCATATGACAAACCCACTGAATGCACAAATTAAAAGTAGAAAGGCCTTGCTTGGCGGAGTCTCCACAGGAGATCAGATCGCCGTAAAGAAATGAAAAAAGAGCCCTTACGTATCTCTTCCCGTACCCTGGGCCTTTGAAATGAGACATTTCACCAAGAACGGGAGGTGCATCCTCGGGGACTATATATATTAGTGAGGATTGCACCCTCCAAACCAACAAACGCATACAAACGGTCATTTGCTGGAGAAGTGTTGGGTTTATGACGGCCATCTATCCACATGGGCCGAATGCATCATGAAATGGGATGACATTCCAGCTAGAAGAAGGACACATATGCATGCAACATGTCTCTCCTAAGTCACTGAGTTTGGGGGGTCCTGGTCGGGTCATCCCGCTCACACAACCACAATGTCACATTATGTAACCACTTCAGGTTCAGCTGTCAGCTCCGCCCCCCTGCAGGGGAGGCCGTGCAACGCCACCAGGTGGCGATGAAACCCCGTTTCACCGCTTTTCACGAGGGTCAACACCGTCCATCGACGAGGCTATGGAAGGAATTTCAGTTCAAAACTTCGTTGATCCAACTTCTTCCTCCTCAACTCATGACCCTGAAAATTTTAGGGAACAGCTCTATTCATTCTGGCAGTAGTTCCTTGTTCTTTGCTGGGATCTGTGTCTTGGTTGCATCAACAGGATGCAATTCCAAGCAACTGCCGTCCGAGACTGGTGCGCATTGAAGCAAACACACCAAACTCTTGAGTCAGTTGGTCGAAATCGCTGGACTATCAAGCCCGAACTTTCCGAACACCACAGGACTATCGAGCCCGAACTCCTACTTGAGCTGCTCGACTCCCTAGGTTCCGAACTCGTTGGCATGATTCATCTTGAATCAAAACCAAGCAGTGTGATTGGGTGTGGATCCAAACCTGGGCCGATCTTGACCAACACATCCCCCAAATCCATCCACACATTCCTCAATCCTGGTGGTTTTCAAACCTGAGAAGTGCAGTTTTCACATGTCACGTGTCCGTCATGTCACACCCATCACCATCATCACCTGCCTTTCTAAGGAAGCCGCGTCCCAAAAAGGGGGTGGTTGTTCTTCCAAAACGCACCCCCACAGCACACGGAGCACTGCCGATCCGGAGCACAGTCTGTCACCGTCCACGCTCCTCCAAAAGCTCCTTCTGAGAAGCAACCAGGATGGGTGAGTTCAACTCAGTTTCCCAAACTAATACTGGAAACAAAAGCAAATGAAGCAAGTGAAGGAGATCATTTTGGCAAATTCAGGACTTGAAAGTGAGCTCTTGATTCCTTAATCTATATGACATGCGTGCAGTGCAACAACACAACTCCATACCCTCACGAATGGTCGAAACATAAAAACATTTGCCGGAAATCTTTATACCAACATCCTAATAAACTCTATATATAGTTATATATATATATCTCAACATCAACAGCTCGCTCTAGGAAGAATCCAACTCATTCAGCTCTTGTTGGAGTCAACTGTCCCACGTGTGCTCAGAGTTGCTGCGAGAAGGATGGCTGGCTGGCCTCAAAGAGGTACCTGCACTGGCTGCGTCGTCCGCGCCAAGCGGGGCTGCAGGCATGGTGAGATGGAGATGGTCTGCAATCAATTCTCCCAATCGCCGTTTTGATAGAGTTGGAACCGTTTTTTGACTGCCGGTGTGCAGCCGTTGGTCTGCCGTTGCAGCCGTTACGCTGGGGTGCGTCCAGTTCGGCCATTGTAGTCAGGGGGAACCCCCTCATGGGTAAAACACATGGGGATTTGTTCCGCACCACCCATAGCTGCAAGCTGGATGCAGCGGAAAAAAAAACAGGTTCCAATCGGCTCCTGTTGATGTGCAAGAAAACGCAAGCAAACATGTGCCTGAACGAAACAGGCAGTTGGTAATCCACCTGTTGATCACGAATCATGTCATGTGCATCATGTGGAGCTGGGCTTTAAAAGTGAACATAATCTCTTAAGGGCTGGGCCTCCGCAAAATTGACTTCAAAAGGCAGCAATGTTGGATTCGCAACTGATTGGAAGTGCCCAGGCACCAACTTGTCACTAAGCATGCAACTGACAGGACGTGCCAAACACTCCAAACAGCTGAAAACAGCCCTCAAAACCTAGGGATTTGAAACCCCAACCCCCTCCATATAAGGGTCCGACCCCTTATCTAAGTCACAGGTTAACCGAAGGTCATCATGTACAAAAACTTAAGGTCATCCGAAAGCAGAACTTCGGTCAGTTGCAAACAGATCTGAAGAAGCAGGTCGGTTTTCTCATCTAAAGCTTGGTGTAGCTTGGTCAGTTTACCCAGTGTCAGCACCTCGCAGGCAAGCGTTTCTACGCTGAGTCGAGTAATTCAACAGCTGCCTGCTCCTCTCAGTGTCGAATCCAAAGCTTAGTTCATGCTAGTTACTAGTTCCCTCAAAAGTGGATGGCATGGACCAGCAAGGATCACCCTTTCCGAAAACCAAGCAGGTGGTGAACTCCACTTGCCATGGAGTATCTCAAGGAGCACCTGGAAACCCAAGCAGCCAGAAACAAAAGGATCATTTTCCCAAACAACCACTTGTGATGTATATAAAGGATCTCCATCACCACATGTGTACTGCCATCATATTGGATTCCAACATATTTCCAACCATTTCTTTCCGGTTGGGACTGTGTCTCGCCCCAATGGTGCCAATGGACCTCGTTTATGGTCACCTGGCCTACTCAGTGGACCCCGCGCACCACCTGGTCCCTTCACGCCCCGGCCTACCCAAGGCCAAAGAGTTGCTGTTGCTCTCCTGAGCCAAACCAATCGCTTCCAACCTGAGGGCGGGGGCAACGCGTCGCACCGGTTGAAGAATGATGTATCCCAAAGCCATGGCTATTGGTTGGGATGCTCCTAAATGGTGTTAAACATATTCATATATTCATATAGATATAATGCACAGAATGTAAATATACTATAGTCATATAATTTCGCATCTTAATGTATATTAATTAATATATATTATATTATGTGCGTGTGGCTATTCCAGGTATGAAGAAAAAGATCGCTTCTTGACCATGGTTCCTGATTCATCTTGATTCTAGGGAAGTTTGGATCGCATAACCTTCAAATACTCTTTCAGATCCTTTGGATATCGGGATCGAGTCCGAGGCAGTTCGGCGTCGCCCGGCGCCAGGCAGGTGTCCACCCCTCCCTAAGCGTAAGCAGCCGCACTGGTGTCCACCCCTCCGAAAGTGTAACAAGATCCAAAGCGGCATGCCATGCAAACCGAATAATAATTCAGATTTAATTACTTGCACTTTACTTGCGCCAGCTACATGCAACCAAATCAAGGGAACATGATCATGGCATTCCAAGGATGATCAAGGGTAGTACAAACTGCACCGGACCACTAAAAAGAGGCATCTGGGTGGGTAGGTCGTGAGTGAAACAAACTATACTGTATCCTGAATTCGTGGCTTTTCAAATCCAATCCCTTCAAGCAGCACGCTGGCCCCCAACTCCACCCCCAAAACCCTCATCCCATCTCATCCCCAATCTCATCCAATCCCCCAGTGCCAAGAAGCAAGCACGGGGGCGCGAAAACCTCTTCGGCCAGTTGCTGGGCGTTCTTTCCCCGCGCATTCCGAAGCTGGACGCCTCGGAGATCTGACGTCGGACGGGTCGGCTCGTCATCCAAAACAAAGCACACATTCCTTCCTCCATGTTGGAGGCCGGGCGCAAGGGCGCCCTAGTTGGGATGGAACAGGTTTTTGGCCCATGTTGCAGCAAAGGCACTGGCACCGCAAGTGACCAAGGTCTGAGCTGCTTCGAAGTGCCCGCTCAAAATGCTACACATCAAGGGACTGGCGCCCTGCAGCTGACGCACCAGAACGCGCTCCGCGCCACTCACTGGTTTCACTCACTGGGTACGGCGGTTGCGGTTCATGTGGAGCTCCCATCCGGTAGCACCCGGAGTCCCACCAAGTGCTCCGACCAAGACAGTGATCGGTCACATGATCACTTGTTTTTTGTTGCATCTTGGTTGCTTTGGTTCGGGCTGGATTGAGCGTTCTTTTTCAACGTGTTTGGTTCTCAATAACTGTTCACATCTGCATACGGACAACTGTGCATTATATTTATATGAATGTTGCCTAGAGAACTGTTCAGACCCAACATGTTGAAATCACTTACCTCATACCTCTATAGATTTGGGTATGCTTGCAGGAAGCTGTGGGTGAAATAATTGTGAATACATTTGCAACCGAACCGGACCGAACCAAATCTCGGTGAATGCAATGCATCAAAAAACCCTATGAATCCTTGGGCCCTCCATGGCAGGGGTCCAGACCTGAACCAAACCCTTCCCATTGGTTCGGGCCCAGATTCTTTCGAGAATGATGAACATTTGAAGAAACATCTTAGGTGAATTCACCTAGCTTTGCACCTATATAAGTCCGACTTATGAGTTGAGTTCACCCAGCTTTGCACCACGGGATGTTGGAAACAACCCCCCCCCTTATCCGAGGGGTCGGCCCACCGGCGGCCAAGAATCGGAGACGTCCGGAACCATCAAGCTGAGCCGTGAAGGGTGCCTGGGTGAAGCGCACCGACGAAGCGCGCGGTGAGACCGGACAAGCTGAGACCGCGCGCGGTGAGCCCTGACCTTGGCGTCTCCCTGACCGATTCGATGTTTTTTTTGGAGATATTCTATCTATAATATATTTGAATTATCTTGATGCGGTTTTTTCCTCGCCCTTTGTCAGGAATGCGGCAGCAGCAAGGCACCAAACACTGGGCCCTAGCTAACTCTAAGAATTCTGGCATCAACAGCAACAGGATCCCTGCGACAAAACCGGGTTGGGGGTCCTGCCACCGATTTTATAGCTGATGGTGGTAGCCACCAGCAATATAGTGGATATTGTCACCCTTATGCAACAGGTTTGCAAATATGTTGCACATTGTTGCACATCTTTGTGTTTGCTTTCTTCTTTTTTGAGACAATGTCTTTCAATTCTTGCGGGGGGTGACCACCCTCAGTCTTGGGACGGCGCGTTCTTTTGTCCCCCAAACAGTGTGGGCACACTGAGGGGTTCTTACACTAGGGAAAGGAAGCTGATGCTTAGATCGCTGAAGCGCGCGGGCGTGTGCGGCTGATTCGCTGCTATTTACAGTACATTCATGCCTCTCGACATCGTCCATGTGCACTTCGACTGCACAGGCTCGCAGAATCTGCGGGCCGGCGGCGGGTGCTTCTAGCGACTGCGCTCTCGTTGTGCAAGGGATCGGAGGTGCTTTGAAGCTGCTGGTTTTACTACTGAGTTATGGCTGTTAAAACTATTACTACATACACTATAAGGCTATTATAACTCACTAACAAGGTGTTATAACTTGTTATAACATGTTATAATTGCTACAAAATTTATTGTTGGTTAAGTGAATTATCTAATGTTTTTTAACTTTTACATTAACATGTCTAATTGTCATAAAAATTTAAAGAAGTTAGTAAAAAGTAATGTAAGATACAAATATAAAAACAATTTTAGCAACATTGTTTTATGTTTGATAGCTAGAGGTTTTCAAGTTTTCACTAAAAGAAAATTGTGGTTTTGTACCAGGCAAGATATAGCTTGCACAAGCTGTTTCAACATTGGAAGCTGATTTCATCTTAAGCAAATGTATGCTCACTATATGAATATTTTGGTTTGCCAGCTGATGAAAGCTTCTGCCCATGAAGGCATATTCAGCAGGTGTATGCTCAATGAATGCTTTTGGTTACCAGCTGATGCAAGGTTTTGCCCATGCAGGCACTTATAAGTTTGGCGTGTGTGGCTTGGTGGTTCAAGTCACAATGTGTGGAAAAAACAAGCACACTCAAACACCAGGTGTTGTGCACACCACATGGTTCATGGTGTTGGGCATTGGGCCCACATGAATTTTTTGGAGATGAATTGCAAAGTCAGCTCACTAGAAGCAAGACAAACAAAAGCTCCATCCAGCTTCACTTGAAGAGCCATGGCTAAGCCAGCCTGGGCATTGGAGTTACAAAGGTTGGTGGATGACAATAGTATGGCAATCAACCAGAGGAGTTCAAAGGCAATGATGTGTATGAAAGAGCATGGCCTTACACACACAGAGAAGCTTCGACCCCAAGACCTGCTTGTACACACAAGCAATCGGGCAGGCCAGATGGTCAACAGCTGGGATGTTTGGAGCAAAGGCATTGCTATTAGTGAAGTTGGGTGGGACAAGAACAAAATCAGAGAACCAGTGGCAGTTGAATTGCCCCATGATGCAGCTGCAAGGCATGCCATGATTTTGGCAAACACTAATTTGCATGAGGCTGCATGAGCAATCCAATGGGATGCTTGCCAAGCCTTCAGGAAAAGAGAGGTGCTGCACTATCAGTGCATCCCATACGACCAGCTTCCTCAAGGCTTTGGCATGTGGATGCACTATGGACAATGAAAATACCAGTGTGGAGCAGCTCATGGCAAAGCAGGATGATTTGGCAGAGCTTTTGAGTGAGGGATGGATGTGGACCATTATCTCCGAGCAAGTAGAACTGCATGTTCCAGCTTTGCCAAGCTTGCTACAGCAGGCATTCAATAGCCACTTGGTGAGACTTGTACTTTTTGTTTGCTCTTTGTTCTTGGCAGCCTGTTGGTGGCACATTGGTTGCCACTTGGAGTCCAAACCAAGCCACATTGAGGTGACCATTGTGTTTTGAAGCCACCTACAGAGCTAGAAGTTATGCTGACCATTGCCAAGACCTATGAGATGCAGGCCACAAAGGATTTGGGGAAAGCTACTGCCCAAGCATCTTCGAGCAACCCACCCTGCAAAGGCTACATGAAGCACATAGGAGAGTTTGTGGGCACCTTTGCAGGAGGAGAGCAGTTTCAGCTGCTCAAGTACTTGGATGTCATTGGAAACCTGTTTGCATACATGGCTAAAACTAGCTTGTGCAGGCCTTTTTCAATTTCTCTTGCAACTGCTCAAGCTGCAGCCTTTCCAGGCTACCCACAGGCATTACAGCCTATATAAATTATTTTGATATGGATTTTGCAGCTGAGGACGCTCTTTTGGTGCCAGTGTCATGATTGGAGAGGAGTTCAGCACTTTGGTGGCTTCTGTAGATTTCAAAGCTGGCACCACCACCTTGCCTTTCTTGAGGGTGGCTTTGTGTGCCACCCAAGTGACCGCACCCAGGAGCTTCATTAGAGATGGAATCAGCAAAATGATTTGCAAATCTGACTTTGACAAGCTCAAGCAGAAGAAGGCTTTTGATGACATCATGAAAGCAGAGCAGCTCATGGTTGCAGCTTGGCAGACACTTGAGGCATCTGGGCTGCCACTGGAGAAAACAGCCCTCCCTTTTGGCAAGTTCCAAATCCGCCTGGTGCTTCTGCTTTTGGCCAAGGAGCTGAAGGGCAGGGAAGGCAAAGAGTACAAGACTTTATTGGCCATCAATGAGCAATTCCAAGCTGATTTTGCTGAGTGCTGTGGAAGTGGCCCAGGGCCTTCTGCTACAGCAAAAGCAAAGAGTGCTGCAACAATGGTCAAGTCTTTGGACCAGGTGAATGACCCAGTCCAGATTGTGTTGGCTGGCAACAGTCACATCCAGCTTGGGAAGCACTACATTCTCAGGGAGGATGGTGATGGTAAGGTTTGGAAGCTGGAGGAGGTCGGCCCAACCAGTGCAAAGTTCTCCCATGCTCCATATTTTGGCAGCAAAGAAGAGAAGGAGATACCCCACAGTGAGTTGAAAAAGGCGAAGCTATGGGTGAAGCCAGGCCCTTGCCTCATTGAAGAGTCTGTGAGGAAAGCACTCTTGCCAGCTGCCTCCAGCACTTTCATTGAAGAGGTTGCCAGGTCAAAGGCCCAGTGTGCATTGTATGACAAGTTCACACAGTACCTTGCCTGGGCCTAGGTTTGTTGTGAAAGTTGTTTTGATGGTTTTGTGTATTGTGTGCCAATCCAAGGCAAGGTCCTATGGACGTGCTTGTGAGCAATTTGAACCAAGTCTTCAGTGGAGGCAAATACAACAAGAACAAATTGGTGCTGGTACCTTTGGGGAATCTCCAACTGGTGCCCTTTGAGAAGGTCACCAAGAACCAGTGTGTGATCAAATGCTCTGAACTCAGCCATGTGGCATTGGTGGTGGCACCGACCAAAGTTGACTTCACCAAGGGAACTGGCATGTTTGTTCCATATTGGTTTCTCAAGGAGGGCAACCCTGAGGATGTTGAGTGTGTCATGCAGAAGCAGCTGGTCAAGCACGACAATTTGCACATTCCTGTGTATGTGAACAAGAGGCAAGTGGATCTTGGTTGCCCTTTGTTCCTGGAGCCTCAGGAAGACACTTCCAACAAAAAGAAAAAGATTGGCAAGAAATGATTTGGGCAGCTGTACATTATAGAGGAACATGTGCAGAGGAGCATGTGCAGTGTGCAGAACAAAAAACAAGCACTTTGGTCTGAGCCTATACAGAAGAGCAGATTCGTGGTAGGCACAGCGCATGGTGAACCTCGAAGTGCAGATTTCGTGGCAGGTACAGCGCTTAGTGAACCTCGATGTGCAGATTTCGTGGCAGGTGCAGTGCTTTGTGCTCTCAGATGCTCAATCTCTCACCCTCCTCGCACTCACACTCACTCTCCCACTCCCACTCACAGCCACACTCCTCACACTCACACCCACTCACTCTCCCACTCGCAGACCCTCACTCGCTCTCACTCACACTCGCAGTCGCACTCACACGCACACTCACTCACCCACACTCACTCTCACACTCACTCTCACTCACACTCGCTCACTCAGTCTCACCCACACTCACCCGTGCCCACCTTCACTCTCACTCACACTCACACTCACTCTCATTCACTCACTCTCACTCTCATGCACTCTCATTCTCACTCTCACACTCACTCACTCTCACACTCACAGTCACTCTCACTCTCACTCACTCTCACCCACACTCACTCTCACTCACACTCGCACTCACTCACACTCACTCTCCCACTCTCACTCGCACACACACTCTCACTCTCACCCACACTCACTAACACCCACCTTCACTCTCACTCACGCTCACTCACACTCACAGTCACTCTCACTCTCACCCACACTCACTCTCACTCACACTCGCACTCACACTCACTCTCCCACTCTCACTCACACTCACACTCCCTCTCACCCACACTCACTCATGCCCACATTCACTTCATCACTGCCATCACCTCTCTGGACCCCAATGCGTCTAGGTCTCTAGACTTTCTGCTCACAGACCTCACACACACACAGTTTGGGGTCTCTTGCCGGGATAATTTCGTCCACCCAGTGGCCTGTGGTGATGCAGCCGGGAGAGCTTGAAAACCAACCACATCGTCCAGGTGGGCTTCAGCTGAACGTTCCTCAAATGATGCGATTCATGCTTTAGCTCGGCTCGGCTCATGGTTTTGCAAGAATTCTGTGAACCCCCAAAAAAGCAAAAAAGGAAGGCACCTGCCAGCATCAGTACGTGTTGCGGTAAAAACATTGGGTGTGCCGTTTGGATCACCTTAAGCTCACGTTCAGCTCAGCATCAAGCACATGGCCGTTCCTCAACTCACAGCCAAACCCCTGAGACCGACACAGTGGTTGTTCCGTCGTGCTGGGATCCGTGTCGATTGATGAGCGGTGCGCGGTGCAAAGGCGACCAACTCCAAGGTGTTGGATATTCAGCTGACTTGGTGTGCCTATATAGACAATTATATATTTGTATATATATATATACATGCAGGCAACATGGCCGAAACTATACCTACTGTTGTTAAATGGCTATGTTCTGCTTTGTTTTGAGCCTGCCTTCTTCCAGTATGGAATCTTTACTAACAAGGAACCCAGGGTCAACCAACACAATGTAGCTTTACCTAGATCTTCCAACGATTCCAATGAATCCGTGGATGAAAAGGGCATCTATCTTGCATCCCTAAACTGGACCTTTTCCGGGATCTTTTGGCACCGGAGCAGCTCTCTTCGGCTCGCCGGTCGTTTCGGCCGTCGATGACGTTCCGGTGCCGGCATGCCGAGGCTCAGGTCCGCTCTCTGCTCCATCAAGGTCAAGATGAGCTCCGAGGAGCCGCAAAAGCAGCTGGACCTGGAAAAGCGACCGCGGGAGGCAGCTGGACTCCGCAGCCGGTTGGTTGGCAAGGCTCCCCTTTGGGGACATGACTTTCGGGCATGGTTCTTTTTGGAGAGGGCGCAGGGCAGAGCTGTGTATGTTTCAAAACCAGCTATCTTTAGACTGCAAGATGACATGCACATAATCACAGTGCAGTCTTCTATCGTAATGCGCTATGATTCAAATCAATGAACTCTGAGTTTGACCATCTTCTCTATGTTAGCCTAAAATGAATATTTTAAAAATGCATTCGTCTGAACTCCTTCAATCGCCTTCTTGAACTTAATAGATATGGGCTCTTCAAACTCTTGTTTGTGTCACTGTTGTTTTCTTATATTTTGTACTTTCCTCAATGTTGTTGAGATTATTGATTGATTTAGTTTTATGATTTCTTGGCATATATATATATATTCCTTGGTTTTTTCTTAATGTAGTAAACTGCCGTTTTGCACATGTCCAAGAAGGTGAAACAACGCCTCTAAACATTATCATCACTCACGATTTCTTCAATGTTGTCTATTATGTCTCCATAAGGGCTCTTCATATGTGCTTTGATTACTGTAGATTTACACGTGTTATCGAATTAAGGCTGTCAAACCGCTTACGTGGCCAATCCAAGGCTAGGGGCACTTGCTCTTTTATCATGAGTATGTGTAGGATGTAGGCTCAAATCACCCAGAGTCTTATCTGTGCAAATATGCAGAAAAGGCATGCAACTGAAACGCCATGAATCACACGAATGAACCGCCAAAAGGGGGTTGAAAAGCCTACCTGTTCCAATCTTGATTTACCCCAGCAAGAAACATGTCATTTCACAACATGTTCACAACATTACAATATATACATTATATGTTCTACATGATTTATACTATGAAAGATTCTGACATCCCCAACCTTGTCAAACCGGCAAAGATAAAGGCGTACAAACTCAAGCGGTCAAGATATGATGTAGCACAAGGAATGCCCTTCTCACAGATTGTAGTTGGGCCCTCAGGCTCAGGAGGATACAACAAATACAAAACCTATCAAAAGTACTAATAATAGTTGCCCCAGTTGCCCCTGCAAGAAAAAATACCACACATACCAAAGGTCTGGTGGAAATACTTGGGCATAAGGGGCCAACTATTCCTCTACAGGATGTGTATTTTTGGTATTTTTGGTCTACCCCAAACCTTGCCTCTGCAGGACATGTGCCTACAAGAAGCACACTTTGATTTGGCGTAGTCAAAACACAAGTGTAGAACAGCGGCATCTGCAGGACGTGGAACACGCACACGCTCACAGCGCTGGTTTCTGTTTTTTTGGAAGGAGGGGACGGTGTCAAGTCACCGAGATGTTGAAAAAAGAATTAATATTAATAAACCAGGAGCAAAGGGGTGCCGAACTTGGAGGCTTGGGGTGCCCATTATCCACTCACTTGGGGACTAAACACCACCCCTTTGTGACTCCTGGTATGTAATTCAATGCTGTTTGTGTGAAACTTCTTCAGCCTTCGGACTAGCCAGCAGCCTACAATTCAATAATACCAATATAACATTTAAAGGGCATCCATGGAATTGATGTTTGTTTGGTGTCAACTCACTTGACAAGCATTAAGAAAAATGGTTTCCATCATCCCAAGTGGTTGAACATAAACATAACTACAACCACCATCCGGTCGCGACCCACTTGTGGGATGGTGAATGGCCACCCCGAATCACCTTAACTGCCCGAATGAGCTATATAAATGCAAGAGATCCCTCAGCTCCTTCAGCGGCATCTTCGGCGCACAGACGAAGTAAGCATCGAAGCACATCTTTCCCAACGCACAGTGGAGCATCCGGCCCGGTGCACTAGAAAGAAGGTGGACAAACGAAAGATGGAGAGCAGAACCACATACCAACACCACCTATTTGGGGGTGGTTATTGGATGGAAAATACCTGATGGTCGATCAACCATCCCTACTACCATCCCAGGATGCCACACGAGCGAACCAACGAAGCCCGAACCGGACTGGCATGCCGCCATGGCGCATCAAAAGGGCAGATGACAAGTCTGCTGGACTGCACAAGGGCACCAAGGTCTTCCTCAGAAGGGGGATGAGACCGGTCGGCGCCCGAACGAAGCGACGCGCTTGTCACGCGCGACGCTTCTAGCGCGCCACGCCAAGCGCGCCAGGCTTCGCACAGCTTGGCGGCGCCAGGTGCCTGCGGAATCCTGTTGATGTCCACGGCGTGTTTCATGTTGTTGGGATGTTTGGGGTGGCGAAACAGGAACATCGCGGGAGCGTGACCAGCGACCGGCCACGGAGCGTGACCAACACCTCTCTTCCCCCCCAAAAGTCTCGTGGCAAAGCTACATTGATTTCCTTTTCAACCACCCCACTCATCAGAAAATGGTCCAAATCCTTCGGGTCGTGACTTGAGCTTCACGTCAACCAACGAAATCGCCGCGGCCCGCCTCGCGAAAAGAAGCCGGGTCACGCCGGGTCTCTTGGGGGGTCCCACGACCTGTCTGGGACTGGGGCATCATACGTAGCGCGACGCAGCGCTCAAGTCTGGACCTTCTGGACCTGGGGTGTGGCCACGTCCACGTCGTGTGAAGGCTTCCAGCCCAACTCCGAGTTACCGGAAGTCGTAAGGTGCTGGTAATTACAGGACATGGGGGTTGGATGAAAAAAAGGATCAACATGGATCAATGTAACATAACTATGGTAAACTTTCCATGTTCCAGGCAGGGAGGTCTGGGACATGGTGACATGGAGCTGAGCTGAATTTCAATCTTTGACACCGCCACGGTCCGGAAGGGAAGCCTGCCAAGCTACACTGCATCAATGGAGCCTTCGACTGATGCCACCTGAGTGTGCAAGCAATGCAGCCGAACATGCGTGTCTGTGAACACCCGAAGCTTCGGAGGGAGCTGATGAGCACTTCGTTTACTGTGACCCTTTATGGGCATCTAGAACCACACGACCATCTCCCAGTGGTGGCATTTGCCTCGTAACAGCTACATTGTAGCGTCAAACCGTCAAAACCATCCAAGTCAAACCAAACCTGAAAACCAACAATGTTTCTTGACTGGCTTACAGTTGCTAAATTGAAAGTCAAACAGTTGAACGCATTCTAGGCTACTGACGCTTGAGGAATCCTTGATAGGCGTCATGTTCTGTGCGAAGAATGTTGCAATTGCTGGCTACTAGAATAGGTGTATATATATATATGTATACTATAACTGCTTGAATTATATTTGAATATTATGAATATGCACATGTGCTTGTACCATCTTGTACCCGCTCTATACCCATTCCCCCAGGCCCTTGAAGGCTCCGCGGAACCAGAACACCGGCTTCGTTCGTCGTCTGGATGCGGGACTGGGATCCGCCGGCCCTCCTCCCCAAGCCCTACAGTTGTTTCAGAGTAGATGGTACAGACCTCAAAATGTCCTTTACATGGGGGTTCATATAAACCACCTCTTGGGGTCTGTGCCATCTACTCTGAAAGCACTGTAATATCTTCTTATCACTAGTAGTAAGAATGCTGCAGAATGCTACTAGTAGTGATGCCAGCCCCGTTCGCAGGGTCCTTGCTCCTAGTAAGGCCAGGAGCCCCTACTCGCTTCTTGTCCCTAGTCAACAGTCTACTATATCAATCCTCACCAGGGTCCAAAACGCATATTATAGTGTCAAATGACCATCATTGAGTACCAAGCACGGAGGATGTTTAGCACCCCTCCCTTTTCGGCGCGAGATGAAGACGCAACTCCGACTTGTCTCATCCCATTTGGACACAGCTGTCAGGTCTCAAGTGCAGAAGCATCTGCATTCAGCACGAAGGCCAAAGATGCACAACATTCCCAGCTTTCTAGCACATCTGATGATGTTTGGCGCGTCCATCGGTTGTCGCACAAATTCTGCCCGTTTCGTCCCTGCCATGCTGCCATGGCATTGGTCATGCACCACTGGGACAGGTTTTGCACACTGGTCGGCGCTGAGTCTTGCGCCGAAGGCCTTGGCGCCTCCGAGTCTTGTGCTGTCTCCGCGAAGAGCTTGAACCATCGGGGCACCATGCTCTTGAAGCCAGCGGCGTCGTCGTTCGGCTTCTTCTCTTCTCGCTTCACGAGGCAGGTGCCTTTCTCGCAAAAGCGCGGGCCCTGTAAGTTCACCATGACCCGTTCAGCGCGCGAGCCTTACAGTTGAAGGAACCTGCCCAACAATAGTCCTCCTTATAAGGGGTTTAACGTGGGAAAAACAAACCATAATAGAGTAGCAAAACCAGGGAACGGATCACCGTGAAGTCAGTCGAAGCTCCAAGGCGCAGCTTCAAGGCCGAAGCTCCGACAAAGGTGGCTTGGTTGTAGGACCAAGTCCATCCCTTTGGATTCCTCTTGCCGCTCTCCGCAGCTTCAAGATTCTCGACGATGTGATCCAATACAAACCCTGTGCTGTCCTCAAAGAGGTTCTCAACCAGCCACTCGTAGGCAAGGTTGGCGTGCTGGATGAAGCGCTCTTTCTCCTCCCCTTCTGTGCACTGGGCCAACAGGAAGCCGGCAATGGCAGCCGGACCATGTACACAGGCATTCTTGGAAGGAGTGTTTTTTTTGTGCCGTTTCTTGAAGAGCAACCCCCCTCGCTCTGTATCCCAAGCACGTTCCCACACCTTCCAATACTGCTCCTTGGCGTGTGCCAACCACTCCTCTGGTGGTGAGTTCCTTGAAATTGCTAGAACCAGAAAAAGGTGTTCCCCAGGATCTAGCACTTGAATTGCACATCAAGGAGGCACGGCCTAAGGCCAAATTAAATAGACCAAACCTGATATCACTCAATAGGGAAAACATGGGAAAACATACCAGGACCCCACAAGGGGTGGTTAATGGACACCCTTAACATCTACGGCTAAGGGGGCTATCAATAGAAACCCCTTAGGGGGTCCTGGTGTAAACATTACTTTCCTCGGCCAAATCCAGGGATTCAGTGTTTGAAAGGCTCGGACCATCAAGATGACGGCCCATAGCACGTCGTCGTTGAAGCCATTGTGGCTCACCCAGTCTGGCGTTTTATACCATCCTTGGATGTGCATTCAGCCTGGCACTCATAGACATTGGATTGACCAAAGGAGGGAAAATTGAAGAACCACCCTTAATTGAACCAAAGTGCAAAAACTATTTGATTCCTAGACCTTCTGGATGGGCTATGGCTATGCTATTCACGACTTGAGGAACCCAAACCTTCCTGGGCCTGGGGGTGTTCCTTCTTCTTCCTAGGTCGACATGTGAAACAAAACACCAGGCATGCCGGGCATCGCAGCATGCCACGCACCAACTTCACGACCAGCTCTTGCATATCCTCGCGATGGGGCAACGCCTGCAAAGCATCGACCATCACCTCAGCCTGCTCGGCTTGTCGCCAAAAGTGCCGAGTTTCTTTTTTTTTGCATTGCTGAAATAGAAGTGGCCAAAGGAGCCACAATCCTGGAAGAATTCACAGATGTAAGCATCCAAGGCTTGTTCTTTGATTTTTCCGAGGTCTACTACTGTTTGCGCACTAGCCTCCATGATCAAGTCGTTGCAGGCTATTGCCACCAATTTGCCATGGCCAAAGCAGAATGAAATGATCAATGTGATCAACCTGAACTGTCGAATCAGGCTTGATATGATCTGCCTTGAGGAACTTTAATCGCTTTACCCTCTAAAGACAGCTCCTTGAAGTCACTCGAAGCATTGAAAGGATGGTTTCGACCGAGCAAGTCCCTTTCCTTGTACCCTATCGATCCCCGATCGCTGCAAGTTCGGCACGCGTTCAATGGAGTTCGCTTTGGACATGCCATGGTGGCTCAGCTCTTGTCGATGAATTGAGCAGCTGCAAGATCGACAGTTCACTGTGGAAGTTTTCTCAATGCTGACCTGAAATTAACAGGTCAGGACATGTTAGACAAGAGATGAACAAATTATCATGCTATATAATAAGTACTCCCCTGCAGATTAACATGGAACACCAAAACCACTGGGTTGTAGAGGAAAATGGTCTTCCAGAGGTCAATTCTCAGGTTCTATGTTAGTTTGTGCGGGAGTATCATCTCCGTTTTGGCTTCGTCTTCCAAGCTGACCGGTCTCCCAAGCCTTCAGTAGCTGCCCTAGAACCCTCCGTTGGAGACTGAACCGGTGGGGGGGGCGACCTTTTTGGACCAGAAGAGAAGACGAGGAGCATATTCTCAGGAGGGCGGATCTTACAACAAAGAAACCATTTCACCCAGAAAGGTCATCAGTCCCCCAGTTCATCCCTCCGGCCGCCTTGTCTTGGCTGAAAAAAAACCCAAGAAACACTCCAAAGAGCCCCGACCTCTCCGCCCCCCCCCAACAAACAAACTGAACATCTCCGCCGCAAGAAAGAACTTCAAGAAGAACCCTGTTTCTCACAGTGTGTTTTCGTCTTTTCTATCTCCTTCAGAAACCAATGAGATGTTCCAACTTCCACGCTCAACATGTTCCCAAAACCATGGGCGCTTCTCGCCCAACCGTCGCTCCCCGCGTCCATCCGACTTCCATCCCGCCCAGTGGCCATCAAGGGCGTCATCCCAGCGGGTCCTGCGGGTTTGGCGCACCGTCCAAGACACCGGGTTGAACGGTGGAAGGAAGTAAGAGACACAGGATAAAACCAGCAGGATTCCAATGCAAACTGTGTTCAAGAAAGGTGCAATGCTTCCTTCTGGGAATAAACTATCCCGGCAAAAGACCCCAAACAGTGTGTGTGAGGTCTAGAGGTGTAGCACCAAACTCAGCAGAAAGTTTAGAGATCTAGGGGCATTGGGGTCCAAGAGGTGCTGATGGTGGTGATGAAGGTGAAGATCATGGTGATGGTGGCGGTGGTGAGTGAGTGAGTGAGTGAGTGAGTGAGTGCGTGAGTGAGTGAGTCAGTGAGTGAGTCAGTGAGTGAGTGAGTCAGTGAGTCAGTGAGTGTGAGTGTGAGTGTGTGAGTGAGTGTGAGCGTGAGCGTGAGCGTGTGTGAGTGAGAGTGAGAGTGAGAGTGACAAAGTGGGAGAGTGAGAGTGAGAGTAGAGTGAGTGTGAGTGAGAGTGAGAGTGAGGTGTGCAACCTTTACTCAGGACTGATTCAGAATACCCAGGTGTCTTCATGCTCCTTGACATCAACCTACATCAAGTGGTTTGGAAGGAGGTCATTCCAGTCCTCCAAGGTGCCACCCTTCTTGAAGAGCTTTTGCTCCTCCATTCTCCTGAGACCCTCAAGCCACGGAGGGATAGAGCCTTCAAGGTCCCCTCTCAAAAGATGGAGAGCTAAATTGAAAAGTGTGGCTACCGTTTCGCCCCGTATGACCCCCCTCCTCCTCCCTAGCTCAATACTTTGCAAAACATCTGTGATATGTTCTTCATTTGGATGCTGCATGCCAAGTTGCTCCGGCAGAGTCTTTTGCTTCTTATGGGATGGCATCGCTGGAAAAATTGCTCGAAACAATCCAAAAAGTGTTGGTGGCCTCACCTATAGGCCTGAAGCAGGCCCACTTCACATCATCATGAATGCTATATTGCTATACTATACTATGTTATATTATGGTATATTTATTTGTTCTATTGTACTTTGAAGCCACCTGAATCAGGCAAATGAAATGGAATGAATTGGCATGATGTGGCATAGCCTGTGATGAGTCCATGAGTGCCCCTCCCGTGAAGACCCACATCCTGAAAAAAGGCAAGGGAAGCCTAGGCGAGGAGGTCTGAGGGATGACTTGTGGCCACCCACCAGCAACCTTCCCCCACGAGGAGGTCTGGTTGCTAGTGATGGCTCAAATACACTTCAAAAAACCACCTGACCTCTCCTTACCTCCACGAGGAAGGCTGGTGAGAGAGAGGCCAGGCAGTCTGACTTTGAAAGCTGTGGGGCACACAGTTCATGCATGCGATCCCGTTTGGAGAACCATGGAGAACACATGTACCGACCCGCTTGGAGAACGGGGTCGGGACAGGTCCTTGAGCGCCCATGGCGCGAGCATGCAGCAGCGTGCGCAGGCCCTGCGCATTGTTGGAGGCCTCGAGGCATTGGCGAAGTGCAAAGGACTTCAATTGGCTTCCAAGGGCTTCTTACTTCTTAGCCCCATGTTTTAGGTGTTCTTCTTTGCCTGGTGGCTTGGGGACACACGTTGTTTTTTTTGCAAGACCCCCCTGCGGCTCAGGGGAAGAAAACAGGTCAACAAGATAAACAAATTAAAGAACTCGATCAAAGGATTCCAGACTCTGACAAGCTTCCCTCAAATGTCTTACACCATCTTCACACCCCCGTGAGAAGCTTCTGGGTTTTGACTCACGCCCCTCACATCTGACCAAGCAGCACTGGCGGTATGCAAAGCTATATGTCCCAGTGCATCCTGGTGCCCATCAGGACTTCATGTCCCACACACTGGGTGAGCTATGATCAAAAGGCAGCAACAAAAACAGCTAGACATACAACTTCCTAACGGATTCCCAACCTGCCCATGATGATCTCAAGCTCAGGCAGTGAATGGGAACTTGACAGGTTCTGCTAGATCAGAAGCTGAGATTCCTCAAGGGGGTCTGTCCATCCAGTGAACCTATATAGTGTTTAATTATTGTGCAGTACAATAATCGTACTCGAATGTAAACATCATATTCGATCGATTACATTCTTCATTCCCATCATTCCCACGGGTGATATACAGGCATTGCACATGTTTGACGGCTGGACTTCCTCGCCCCACTTGGCTGAAAACGGCTCCTTGGCATTCACATTCGCTCGGAATTCCAGTAAGAGCTCCAGCGCCTCTTGGTGGTGTAAAAAGGAGACCACGTGCAAGACCTCATGATCATGATGCACGAGTTCCACAGCTCGTTGAACGTTCTTCCAACCAACCAGAGAGGCCGAGACAATTGGGGCTCCAAATGCTTTTTGTTGCCTGTCTCAAGTCTAGAATAGTCTAGAGGCGAAGGACCAGCGCGTTCATGATTGCACTTTCTGACCATTATCATCCGCTTGTCAACACTTACGATTCTTGTCAAAGCATTGGGAGTCGCAGCCTCAAGGCGCTCATCTGCCACCTGCACCACTCAGCAACAACAAAAGGTTGCCACCCATTTCTAACCACAGAGCTTATCTTAGAAACATGCCAGAACACAGGTTGCTGTTGTTTTGCTGGACACCCGCCCGACCGCCGACGCCCAAGCATCAGCGTCAGGCCACTGGAGTGTTCTTGGGCATTATGGCAAAATGTGCCGGCCTCGTCTGGTCCGACATCCGTCGCAATGAACGGAAAGAATTACGTCTCAACTGGGCGCAAGGTGCCAAATGGATGGCAAAAACAGGTCAATTTCATGAGCTCCTGTTGGTCCAAATTCACTTAGAGCGTTGGAGCTGACCTTGAATGGGACATGGCCCCATTTTTGAACTCCTAAAGGCCAGGTAGACGTGAATCTATAAATATATATATACTTATATATATATATATGTATACAGTCAAATTATACATACAAATACCCTATTCCACTCCTCTTCCAAACCCTAGAGTGTGTTGCGTTCTGTGACACCTACGACGTATCATGTAGATATAGCTTATGATGACTTCATTTCGGAGAATTGTTCCTAGTAGCGTCCGATCGCTCCGTTCGTAGCGATGCCAGGAGCCCCTACTTCGTAGCGTCCGATCGCTCCTTCCTTCGTAGCGATGAGGCCAGGAGGGTGCGGCCCAGACACTTGGTGATTCGATCGTTGGGATCGGCCCGCTCCTGCAACATCTCTCTGATCAGGACCTGGAACGGCTCTGCAGGTGTGGGTGGGGCAGACAGCACCAGCGGGTCGGGTGCGGAACTCAACTTGGATCCTGTTCCTGTTCCGGTCGGAATGGTTTTGCCCGCCGGGCACTGTCCAATTAAGTTGTCAAGGCCCCATCTACAGGAAACCATAGATGACCCATATTGACCCATCATCTTGGAATAAACACTCTGGTTTGCTAGAGGTTTTCCCTTCAACCAATCCCAAAGATTTGTGTATTAACAACATTCATCCCTGGGATTCCACTGTATGACCGGATTTCCGCCGTGTGACCGGATTTCCGCCGAGGGCCGCATAGCACAGCGGCGACCAGCCGGCAGCGTCGCGCTCACCGAGGCGTGCGAAGCCGTTCTGATAAAGGAACTTCGACAGCGCCTGCCGCGCGGTGGAGCGGGTCCACGCGCGGGAGCGGAAAACACGGTGGACCGTGGTGGAGCACAGTGGTGGCCCAGCCTGGTGGTCAAGTACGCCCAGCGAAGTGAAGGACTCTGTCAACAGCTTTAGGTCTCCAGGGGTAAACAAGTATGGTGACTGGACCCTGGATGGAACGTTCCGCTCCAAAAATATCAATCTTTGCCAGAAACTGTGCACTTGTTACTCCAAAGCACACACATATGTGCATACTAATACACTTAGGTCACCACTGAATCTAAGGGACATTTATTGGACACTTACTCCAACATACTGGCTCCAGCTTGCTCAAACCTCCCCTTCGCCACAAAGAACCGCATCCACCGTCCCCCCGTTCGCTCGGTCGACCTCGGCCTCGGTGGGGCCACCAGGAACGATGTCCTCCACCGGAGCCAGCGAGAAGCCCGAGAGGCGAACCCGTTGCTGGCTCCAGAGGAAACGATACCTGACGGACGGAGGGAGGGAGCCGAGAGGTCTGAGGTCTCAGGGTCTGGTCAATGCGGAGCCGAGAGGTCGGTCTTAAGGTCTGGTCGACTCCATGGTTCAGATGGATCCACGGTCTCAGAATCGGTGGTGATGGAAGGTCCTAATGACTTTCGAAGCATGTGTGGAAGAGGTGGTGATGGAAGATCCAAGTAGGTAAATACATGTAAATAGATTCTAGATCTTCCAACTACCTCCAACTATGCACCGCTTCTGCCTCACGGGGGTTAGGTCTTTACAGAAGCAGGCATAAAACCCTTGCAGACCTCGGTATGCCGTAGTCGGAGGTCTCAGGGAGTGGGGTCTCCACCCCAAAAGTCTGATCCTTCCAAGGATTCCCGACGTGGCTAGCTAGAAGTGGCTAGAAGGACCTGCTGTGGGCTGTGTCTGGTGGATGCCTTTGAGCTGCAAACTCATTGGGAAACGCAAGTGTCAGAGTGGCTTTTGGTATGCTTGGGGGCGTTGGGAACCTCATTGTGCTCACAAGGTGCTCTCCCACGCACGTGAAAACATCCTTCCATGATTGTTTGAATATGTGACGAATCTTTTCGACCCTGCGATGCACCACCTGTCTCAGCCCTGCGGAGCAAGGGGTCAAGTTCCACTTCGCTCGTTTGAGGGAGGACGATGAGGCACCGAATGCGTACGGCACGGGCTGTGTGCCTCTTAAGACTCATTGGGCTGGCACGGGCTGGCACCAAAAGGCCCTAAAAGGCCGTGCTTGGGTGTAAAACGGTAAAACGGTGCACCAAAATTTCCCTGGCTGGGTTTTGGAAAAGCAGAACTTGGCCTGCCCTGTCCCCAAAACCATCCAAAACATTCCAAAACCATGTAAATACCATGATATGTCGTGCATGTGCCATCTTTCCATCACTAGGAGTTGAGTAAATAATTAGTCACTACTCAGCAGTGCGACTCATCACTGATCTGGAGGCTCGGCACCGATGGATCTGGCCCTCCTCAAGGTAAAGCTTCAGTTTCCGCTTGATTAAGCTCTGCAAGACCTCGGCCACTGCAGAGCGGTCCGCAGCCATGCTGAAGCTGCCTCAGAGAAAGGCAGGTCTGGAGACCTGTTGAGCAGCTCTGCAGTTTGTTCACATCAAATTTCTGGTTGGGGAGGGGCGCATGTTGGGGAAGGTTCACATGATGCACATGCACAATCCTTTGCAAGGCATGGTTTGCTTCATTTCATTTTGTTTCTGCCAAACATCGAGGTATCTGGGATAGGTGTTCATTTTGCTTTTGCTTCCATTACTCCGGTGGCCAGTGTCATGCTCTTGTGCTCTTCTCGGCATCGTGACTTTAGGAGCAATTCTGTCATCCACCCAGCTGGCCCAGCAATACTTGGTGAAGTTCGCACACCCCTAGGGCCGAAAAAACACATCCTGCGAAGGTAGAGGTTGTAACTGATAGCCCTTGTCCATCTCGCCGAGAAAAAAAAAACACTTGACATCTGCGCCCAGGAGCCCTCTCCAGGGCGAAGGACCACTTGCTGGTGTCCTGCCGCGCCGCGCCAGGGCCGGAGAGGTGAAGAGGAGCGGTGGTTGAAACGATGCGAAACCATGTGGGTCAATCTTCACCTGCAACTCTCATAGGAACCATGTTTGATGCCTGTGTGTGTCATCAGGTTCGAGGGTAACCTTTGGAATCAGCAGTGTGTGTCATCAGCTTCGAGGGTAACCTTTGGCATCAGCAGTGTGTGTCATCAGCTTCGAGGGTAACCTTTGGCATCAGCAGTTTCCTCATTGCATCCAGGATAACCCCATGAGATTGGACGACAAATGATTACTATAGACTATACTTACCTGCCCAAGATCCCCCAAGTCACTAAACAAAACTGAAACCACCACGTGATCCACCCGAGGCTGCAAATGGTCTACCCGAAACCACATGCCACAACCACTGCTGCACTGCTGAAGTTCCTTCAAAACCATGTCTCACCCAATTTGCCCCCCCAAGAGCAACATCCTGGTGCGACAGTGAGATGAACGGCGCTTTCCACCAACACCACCTGCAATGTTGGCGAGGAAGGCTTCGGCAAACATGGCAATGACAGAAAGTTCTGAGTGGTTCTTTGAATCTACCAGGACCCTCCAAGGGGTGCCCAATGGAAGCCTATAGGTAGTGTGGAGTACGTAGTTCATTGGACACCCCTTGGAGGGTCCTGGTACAAGTCTGCTTGGCTGTGTGCTTAAAAGCCGATCCATTCAAATTCTAGTAATACTTCCAACCTGTCTACCACTACAGTGACGTTCCAGAGTTGGCCCAACCAACGCGTCGCTTCACACTTCTTTCGACCCCCAACATCAACATCTCCAGCTATATGAACGTGCGTGTGGCATGTCAGGCGCCTGTACCCTCCCTGCAACGGAAGTGGGCAATTAATTTAGTCGGCCTCCGTGCCTCAAATAACTAACGCCTTTCAACAAATATGTTGGCCCAGAAATTGAAAATCGTGCACTAACCCGTCCCAAATATATAGTTTGGCCCACCGTGTTTGACACAGTTGTCTGTCTTTTGGCTGATGCTGATCCTGACTGATCACCTGATCTTGGCCCATCCGGCGGAGGAGTGAATAGAGCCCTTGGAGCGGCTCAGAGTTGGTGATTGCAATGAATCTGAACTCCTCATTGACACCAGCTGCCCAGGTGCAGTCTAATGCTCATCCTGCGTTGTGGAATCCCGTGTCTTCCAATGGCTCTTTTTCCACATCTTCAGCGTCATCCGTCTCACCGGATTCTCCTCCTCCACCTCTAATGCATCTCAATCCAGGCCACCACGGGACCCATCTCTTCAATCTCACTGCTCTTGATCTGGCCAATCACCCCAAATCACCAGAAACTCCTGGCTGAATTCTTTGTAAAACCCTACACCCCCCCCAATATAAAGAAACTTTGCAGGCTCCCAAAGATCCCCCATAATCACTCTGAGCCCAAAATTAATGCTGTTTCCCCAGCCTTGGAAAAAATAATCCAACAGCTTATGAAACAACAACTAATCAGTTCACCACCAACAAAAAACTTTCCAAACAGTCTTTGGGGCCTCCCCTCATGAAAAAAATCAGTCTCAGGGATCGTTCCTCATGAAGAGATTTAGTCTTTGGGGCCTCTCCTCATCAATGAGATTTAGTCTTGGTGACCTCTCATGATTGACCCCCCCAAAATAAAGTTCGAATTGCACCTTTCTGAACCCACCCAAATAGCAAACCTTGAGGGGGGAGGTTTATCACTCCGTGCTTCCATTAGGGAAAATTGCCTTTCCAGGGCCAAGGACATCCACTTCGAGGACATTGCAGGGGGGGGAAGCTCTTGGAGCCTCAACTCCACCCCTCTCAAAGCACCATCGTCAACCTCCGCCCCCAAGATCTCCACCCCACCGCGCGGGGGTTGGAGCTGCAAAGCTCGCAGGCCATGGACTCGGCCAAACACCAACCACGGGAGGCCCAGGTGAACTTGTTCATGGCCTCGGAACCTGCATGTTCAGCTCGGAATGAGATGGATCTGATGGTTGATAACAAATTGGGTCTGGGGTCTGGTTTTCGCAGCCTCGGGTTTCGGTCATCAAGCACTGTACACACACACACATGTGGGCTCGGGGGAGAAAGACAGGAGAACCTCAGCTTGGAGCAATTGGTCAATGTGTTGGCTTGATTTCCAAGTGTGGCAGGTTGACTATGCTTGACTTTAGTCACTATATATATATAGTCCTTACCTGCACCCATGTGTAGTCCGCGGGAAGGTGAGTTTGGACTTCCGAAAGCATAGGTGAACATTTTGTGGATGTTTAATGATGTTTACTCATTTAGTAAAGGGACTGGGGAAACTATGCTCACTCGCCGGTCGGGGTGAGAACCTCAGAACCGGCAAGCTTTGATCCTAGGGAGCAAGTTGCCGATCGGAGCATATAGTTCAATTCCTTTGAAGAACGGTTGATTGATGCCCTTCCTTCTTTCAATGTCACACTGACAAAGCTCCGCACCATTGAATCGGGCATCAGGACCAGGGAAGGCGAGCGTACTCCACGTTTTGCTCTGCTGTTCTGACTCCCAAGATCTCCCAAGAGGCTGTTCGGAAGCTTTCTCTTGCTTCTTCTCACGCCAAAACGGATCAAACATCGAACCAAAACGATGACCCCCTACGTGAGATGGGGCCCTCCAAAAAGAAAAGGGTGAAAAAGGCCGCTTGACTGAGCGCTTCAAGGTGAAACTCGACTCAAAGAAGTTCAAAAGTGTTGTCAGCCCCGTCGACGACGGAGTTTGCAGAGTCAAAGCTGGTCGGGCGGGGAGGTCGCCCCTCCCGCGCCATCTCCGCGGTTTGGTTTGTCTCCTTCGGTGGATCCAAGGAGCTGCAGTCTCTCGTCATCACCTCAGGCCGCGACTTAACGCCGCAGAACCCACACAACATCGGTAGATAAACTTGCATGGCTCCCACTTGCAGTGGCCCTCACATACAAACGAAGTCCATCACAAATTGAAATCAAACAGTTGCCAGCTGGGGTTCATGTTGGTGGTGGAACTGTAGATTCCATCTAGCCCTGAGGCGATGTGCACATGCAAAACAAACACTCTGACACCAAAATCACTAGCCAGAATTGCCTAAGAAAGCCAGTCCCTTCACATCCAAGCGCTGGAATCGCCAGCTGCGCCACCAACTTCGTCCAACAAAAACTGAACTCTGGTGACCCCTGTTTACTCAATCCACTAAGGCTCAGGTAGGTCATCGACGTGAAGCATGAGTGAGCCCCAACCCCATACACATCACTCAAATTCATTTAGTAGATTCAGCCATTTGGACGACTCACTGTGGCGAAAGCATGGTCATTCATGGGGTGTTCACCCACGCAAAAGCTGGGGGAACACCCCTGGAGAAGCGGTCTGTTCATGAACGGCTAAGCACGTCTGGTCCAAGAAACGGGGCAAAGGATGAAAAGGTAGTCACAACGAGCAACATAGCCTGAGAACAGGCGCGCCAGTCTTGCGTCTGAGAAGGATGCAGTGGAACAAATGCTGGTTCAGAACTGACCCACGAATGCCGGCAAGCGGAGCCCTACCTCCTTCCACCTGGTTGGATCGATCTGTGGGGGAAAGCAAGGTGATTCATGCACTTCGTGGGTAGGGTTTAGGTCTTACTGTAGGGCCCAGCAGGGTCCCAAAGCAGTCACCTTCGATCGCTTCCTTTTGGGGGGGGCCGAAGAGACATCTCCCAATATTTGCACCTCCAGGATCATTCGGGGCGTCGGTTTTTTTGGTCGTACCACGTCGTACATGATGGTGGATTCTTTTTTGGTGGCTGGCTGGCCGAAGGAACGTATATTATAAATTAGATCAGAGTCTTCAATAAACTCTCCCAATCTGCAAGGTTCTATTTTTCACGCATGAAGGTTCTTCATCACTCGTTCCAAGGACGGCCTCGTTCTTCATCACTCGAGCATCCTGCAATGCTTTGGCCAATGGTGCCGGAAGCTGGAAGGATGCTGACAAGCCCTTGGCCAAATCCAGTTCTTTACATCCTGACAGCTGCCTCAAGCTTGCTCTCCCACTCCAGTCGATCTGTTCCAACTGTCTCGTGTTTTCGACCGCCCCGGCCGGTGCCAAGACCTCGATCCGCAACAATCCAGATCCAGAAACACATACACAATTTCCATGCATGGACGGTGCTTCTCTTTTGAAGACGGTGCGTTAACATATTAGCTAACACTTAACTGTCACGAACCGAACCGTTATCAAGGGAACCAAAAGGTCGACATTGAGCGGAACTTTCTCCACCTTTGGGCCTACAAAACTGACACTTCACCAATCTGCAGGGGTCGGGTGGGGGTTCTGAACCCAAACATCGAAATCATTCATCTGCACCCTCTGACAGGTCAACCAAGTCAGACCTGTTAGTGCCATGATGTGCCATGTTACCAGTCTTTCTTTTAGGACGAGGTCTAGTTCCATACATGTTTCTGCTGTCCTGAGTCCTGACAGCAGAAAAACGCAGAAAACGATGACCTTGATCCTCCAGGTGACACTCCCTTGTGCTCCAGCCACACCAAAGAGTGCCAACCCGCCGTAGGACGCAATCTCAGCCGCATAGACCTCGAGACCGAGGGTGAGCCATGCTAAAACCGCAGCCTGAAGGAAGATCCTGTGCTACGATGCTTGAAAGCCAAACACATCTAGCGAGTTGTCGTTTAAAAAACGTCTCACCAACTCACAAAGCGCCTCATTACATACGTCCGTTGTTTATGTTGTTTTCTTTCAGAGCGTCCTTCCTCGCCTCCACATGCGCCAAGCCTGCTGCGCGCAGCGTTGCGACGGTGTCGACCGCGGCGCTCCAGCACAACCCACCCGGGCTGGCACGGCAGGCGCCGAGTTGTGTGGAGAGGTGCCCAGTGGGAGCCAAACGCTTCCAGCAACCTCCCAGGCGAGGTGTAGGGGCGTACGTCGTGCAAGGTTGAGACTTGGCTTAGAATGGTTTGAAGTCAGCACTAGTTCAACCATCACTTTGGGACCATTACTAATCAAGTACCATTGGCTTTACTACTTTCATCTACTTTCTACCTATTTACGACTATATAGTTCTTCAGTTAATCTGGCGGTACTGTGGGAGCTACTTTACAACGTGCAGTAATGGATGGGTCGCAGCTGGATGTTTCAGCGTGTTTGCCTCATGGATTTCCAGCAAGAAGAGCCACCCCCACCCCCTGCGATTTGGATTTGTAAAACCTCTTCCAGGACCTTCAAAGTGACCTCTTTGGAGTCTCTGTTTGTGACCTTGTACAGACCTAAGTGACCTCATCCTGGGATATCAAAGGGTCACTTTGAAGGTCCTGGTTCGTACATATATATATATATATGCTTCTTGAGATCATGTGAGGGGTGTCATTCAACAAATGCATTATATAAATTCTGGGCCCACGCACCTTCAAAGAACTGCTTCGACCACAGGCTGTTGCTCCGTCCGGCGGTGGAGCCAAAGTCAGTGCTGTCCACCACGATGACGTCGAAGGAGCCAGGTGGCCAGTTCTGAAAATCCGATGCATCGGCAAAAATCGTTTTCACCTTAGATCCCAAGGTATCTCACGATAGAGGTGGAGTCAAATCCAAATGATATTTATTTACCTACATTGACCCCTAAAACCACCCCAATGTATCCATGGAGGATTCGAACACCGGATCGGGACCGGACACAATCACACAAACCAAGCCTCCAAAAAGGCGGGATCCTTTGCCCTAGGGCTCCAACTACCCTCTGAGAAGGTGGGACTGGGGGATGCTTGGGGTGGGCCCTCGCCAAGCACGTGGGGGAGACAGGTCCATGTATGGGTCTGACCAAGTTCTAGCACCGCCCAAGCACGGTTGGGCGGTCCCCTCTTGTCATAACAAGCCTGCCTTCGGCAATCCCAAGAGGCTCGTGCATCGGACAAAGCAAAGGCCTGTGGAAGGAGAAAACGCCTGGCCGCCCTGCAAACAGCCGGGTCGATGTCAATGAGGACGATTTCCTGCACACCTGACCCGGCCGGGCTCTCTTTGGAACATTTCTGGTTGAAAAAAAACAGAAATAGTTCCTAAATGGTCTAAACAAGGCCAGTCCGGATGTTCATCTCCATGACTAAGGCACTCCCATGCTTCAACACTTCTCGTGCTGCTGCTCCATTGCCACCGCCACAAATCAACACACGGACGATGGGCGTGTCGCACAGAAGCAGGGGCACGTGTACCAGGTATTCGTGGTAGATCGCTTCATCTCGCTCGGTTGACTGAAGGACCCCATCTAAGGAGAGGCAAAGACCTCAGATGACCGGAACTTCATAAAGCCATGTTGACGATTCTTCAATATAGGGGCCCTCTTCAAGCTAACATTGGGATATATAACAGGTATCATAATATATGGGTGTGCCTTAAGCGAGTGAGACCTCGCAGTTCAATCCCCTGGCAGGCTCGGGATTGAAAGACCCAAAGCCACTGGGCCAAACATTCATGCACACCCACCATGGTTTCGTGCGAAGCTCCTGCTTGTCGCTTCATGCATATTCAAGCAGCTTCTTTCACTCCACTCTAGATCTGGGATGGGCTTGCAAAGTTGAGCATCCTAACTTTGGGGCTTGTGCCATCGGGCCTCTGAAACCACAGTGGGCCTTTCTGGGCCACCAGGAGCTCCCAAAGCCTGCTAGTTTCACCTTTCTGGTGGTGCTTTGCTCCCTTTCGGAACCTAGTCAGCTAGTCACAAGTTCAGGGGTGTGGAGGTAGTTGCTCCACTCCTCTTCTTTGGCTACGACAACGTTCTGGCTACACACTTCAAATCATTGAATGATTCGGCCCGGGGTGCCATAGCTCTTGCTACGAAAGATCATCAGAGTCTGATACTCGGTCTTCTCCTCGTGAAGGACTTCCTCCACCACCACAGGTGAAAATGCTTCCAGCTCTTCATCCTCGGTCGAAACCAAGCCCACACAGGCTCTTTTTGGAGCCTCCAAGTGCTGGGGGGGGTTTAGTCACCCGTGTTGTCCCAATCACTCATGCATTACGACCAAACGACTGAACCCCGCCACCCGGTGGGGCCTTGGTTACTCCTGAAATGCCAGAACCAAGCCCGAAGGGTCGCGATCAAAGCCCATGCTCCATGTTGAAAGTTGGGGGTGATAGGTGCTTTTGTTCAACCAACAGCAACCAACTGCAGGTTCTAAAACCACATTGGAACAAGTTGGAAAAACAGAACAAGAGTCTTCAAAGCTTACTGTTGGACAGCTGAGCATCGGATGCCACCTCTATTTCTGAAGCAGCGGCATCCTCCCCAGGCGAGCTGGAGAATCCCGACCCATGCGCATCGTCCAAGGTCTTACGCTTCTTGGTGCTCATGGCACAGCATCAGAGCTTGCAGCAAGAAACCCATGATCCCAAGCGATCCTAGCTTCTTTCCTCTTCTGTGCATCCTCTGACTAAGAAATGCCCTGAATCATAACTTGCATACAGCTGCTTAGTGATGCGTCGAAGCCACCCTCACCTCGTCAATATGTACTGACTTCGGGTGCTGGATGTTTTTCGTGCGAAGCTCACTGGATGTCTCAAACACATTCTGCCGATTCCATACGAGTTGCATGCCGCCACATAGACGCCATACGGAGGAACCAAGCCCGACAAGTCCTACACCCTGGCTCACCTGGCCTTTACGAAGCACGGGGAGGTTTGCCACGTCCATGTGAGTGAGTCGAAGCGTCATAAGTCCAAGAACATGTTGCTTGGCCTCCCTTCGGTCTTTCAAGACTTACTGACCCCAAGGTTGCCTTAACCTGGCCCTTTTTTTTGCTTCCTGTGTGGGGGAGGCCAGCTTCGGCCAAACCCGTTGGTGTGGGTGACCGTGTGGTCACCAAGCACAGCGCCGAAATGTCGGTGGTTCCATGGGGTGGAACCGTGTTCCAGGAGGTGGGTGGGAAATAGCCCCTGAAGTGCAAGTGGTCTAAGCGTGGAATGCTTGGCCCCATGATGTGTTATTGCAACACTGGCTAAGATACTATATCTGGGGGGTGGAATGTGGGGGGTGGCATCTGGCTCCCTGTGAGTCTTGCTGGCAAGTGTGGTGAACGTGGCTTCGTTCACTGTTGAAAGGCCTTTTATCTGAAGTGTGCGAAGCCATGTCAGTGATGATCTATCTGTTCAGTGATTGTGTCTTGGATTGTTACTCCTAAAGAAGCAGCTGGTTTCTTTTCGATTTGTCTTCACAGTGAGCAGCGCATACCCTTCAGGTCACTTCGTCACTTCCCAATCGGCCCTTTGCCGTTCCTCGCTTGCTTCGCTTTCAGATGGAATATCCCAAACACTCCTCTATGGGACTGGTATATTTGCATATATGATTGGGGTGGTTTCAGGGGTGGGTATATAATACTGTATCGCTGTATCATCAGTATATTCCATGGAGTGTCTGGGCAATTACTGGGAAATGACCTGCGCAAGGTCACTGGGAAGTGCCATACCTGCTGCCTTTCATCTGCTTCACGCAGAAAGCCGCCAAACCACCCAAGCCTCTCCAAGATGAGGCGATACAGCCCATCGTATGCAGCCCAGCAGCCAGGAATACTGTAAACAGCATTCTTCAAATCTGTCTCGGAGAGTTGAGGGCACGAGAAGTAGTCCTAGGCTGAGGGGGGGTTGGTCCTAGGCTGAGGGTTGGTTCAGGTCAGGGCCCTTTTGGTCGCAAAGCACTCTATTGAATGCTCTCCATGGCAGGAACACTCCCATGAACACGGAATGGGGGGCGCGCTTGCGCGCCCTATAAGTGCGGTCGGCTCGTAACGGGAGCCTTCCAGTGTTCCACTTCCATGTTGGTGAGCTAAAGGGTATCGAGTACAGAGTTCTCCTGGTCTGCAGCTTGTTTGGTTGCCTCCCGGAATTGCAGGCAAGCCTGGCGATTTGGAGATACCATAACCCATACTTGGCTGAGCCAAAAGGAGATGAAGTTCCTATTTTTGTTATGAAACCTAATCTTGTAGATCAACGTCCATGAATGAAGAAAACACTCTATTTATAAATGGAGGCTTCATCGCAGATAAGGAATTCATGTCTTTGTCTTTCATTCTCATCACAAAATAGACATTAAATGCTATAGACGGTTCACCCTAGATCCAAAAGAATATAATGTACCAATGTCAAAATAATTGGGTCCTGTAGGTCTGTTCTCCCTCTAACATCAACTAGTTTCCATCAAAAAACCATTCTAAGAATGAAGAAGAAACTATTCTTGGGAAACTATGACCATACGAATTAAACCATTCTAAGAGGGAATATTCCATAATACGCATCTTTTCACAATTGAACATGAAGACAGCACACTGTGCGGGCATGGGAGGACACTGGGGTGGGTCCAACGGTCCAGTTCACCGGTCCTAAAGGTTCGCACGGTCGCGGACCCTATTCCCGGATGCCGAAACCCGGCCACCACCGTGACCCATACACGACTGGACTGGAAGATCTGCCGCCCCAGACAGGCCCCCCTGGCACCAGCCGTTTCTCGGCATAGGCTAGGGGGTCCCATGAGTCGCGTAAGGGGAATACCTAGCCCTCTCTCCAACCATCGGAAGTTCACGTCCTGCCCGGAAAGACCATGAAATCCTCATACGAAGTATTCAGTATTTGCCTCTTCCAAACATCCACACCCCGTTGGCCAATGCAAAGCACTATGAGTTCTGATAGGGTTGGCTAAGGCCCTAAGCTGCCAAGCCAATCGAAGTCAGTGATTTGAGCAACCGAGACTTCGATACATGAGTTCCTGGGTCGACCAGTGCCTAGGGGCTAAAGCCTCGTCTCCTTCGCCTCGAAAAGCTTGTGTAAACACGGTCGACCAATTGGAGGTTCTCAGAAGGCAGTCAGATTAAAAGAGGTATCAAACTGCATTGAGACTGGGATTGTAGTGACAATAACAAGTGCATGTATGCTCCTTGAAGTCATGCTCCCGGGCCTGTGCCTGATATTGGGCCTAAGAATCTATGTTTTGTTCTCTATATATGCATAGCACCAATTCCGGACCCTGAAAGCATTTCAAAACCCTTCCCACGTGATGAGCCCGGATTTGGTCTACGAAACCCACCCAACACCCCTTCTTCCAGCTTCTGAGAAGTGCAGTGCAAGCTGTGTGTTGGCTGTGTGGAGAAGGGTGCCATCTCTCTTCACCGGGTCCAAGGGTCGTACCAAAGGAAGATCGCTTGCGATTGGAGCTTCTTCGTGGAGATGCCCTGGTAATACCCCGTGAGGATCTCCTGAGAACGCGAGTCGCAGACTCCAAAAAATGTGACGAAGCAGACTCTGACGGGTCAAGTGGATCATCAAGCGCTGCGTGGTGTCGCTCCGTTTTACACGGGTCTTTCGGGATATGACAGCAGTGTTGTTGTTATTGTTGTTGTTGTCCTTCTACTTCTTCCCATCCTTAGTAAGCATTGCACATTCTGAAAACATGCTTATATGATGAGTTGGTGGAACATGACGATGGTTATATGATGTTATCGGAACCCTTTGGGGAGATTCCCTCTGGGGTCATGGACTCTTGAAGATCTGGTCTCCATGCCAGCTGAGAGATCACCAATTGCTGCCCCACTTTTCGTTCTACAAACATTAAGCATATGCACCGAAAAGTTGGGGAAAAAACAAACATGAAAGGCACGGAATGGAAGGTGGAGGGGCCCCAAATAGGCTGAAAAGTGAACTGCTTGACTGCTTGACTGACAAGCGGCCCCATAGAGGACATTGCAATGTTTCAAGATCCCATTGAGCATATCTGGTATGGTTATAGCAAAAGTGCATTGAGAGTAGATGGCACAACCACCAAACGGTGGTTACATGGACCCCGTCTAGAAGACCTCTTGGGGTGCCAGTGCCGGTCCCTCTGAAACCGTAACAAAGACTCTCCAAACCCACCTCAAGCACCCTCGAAACTGAGGGCCTCGAAATGAAACAGGACGCCTCTGCCGCACTCTCGAGTGAGCGGCCGGATCAAATGCGCCGGACATTCGGAGGGAAACACGGCGAAATGGTATAGCCAGCTATAGCTATCCCAAAGACTCTGTGGGACTGGAAGAAATGCCGCCGAGAAGGCCCCTGAATCCAATCACCCCCCAAATGCATGTGTTTGCATGCCAGTCGCATGGAATGTCTGATACAGGCTTCAGGCACAAAGGCCCGGCGAAGTGGACTGGCACTCCTTGAAGCGCATCTGAACACTCTTCACTCGTCGAGAAAACTGTTCGGCCACGCGTCATGCTGTGCAGCCACAGAGATGACACTGTCACGCAGAAGCATCTTCCTCAAAGCCTCCTGGCGCTGCAATCATCATGGTCCGCAACTAGTTTTGTTTGATCGATTCCACTTGGAGCTCTGGATCAAGCACCCTACCATACACACCGCATACAAGTTTCAATCCAGAGAAGAGCTCTATACCCGAAGACTCCTTCCACTCCTTCGTCCTTCAATGCAGGCGTCCGAACTGGCCACAGGTTCCGAGAAGGGCGGATTCGAATCCCACGACCAACTTAGGACGGCAGGGTGGCAGGGCACCAGGGAAGTCAATATAGCATATGGCAGTCCCATGGAGTCTTAAATGGATCAACGAATCCTCAACCCCACGAGCCAGGCGAGACTGGCGCCTGCAGAACCGCCAGCTGCCTGAGAGGAGAAGCGAGTCCCGACTGTATTGCTTAGATTCACCTTTTGCCCGCAAACTCTACACTCCCTTGGAAGCGGTTGAACATAGAATCTTGCTCTACGAGCAGGGAGTTTTCCATTTCCATGTTAGTGAGTGGGAGAGTAAGACTCTGCTTGTGAGTCTGCACAGGGGCTCTCGGTCTCTGCTTGCATTCTACACGTATCTTCGAAGTCTCCTGTTGGCATTGGGTGGACACAACAGTTGCTGGCATCTTGATCTTGTAGAAAACGAAACGGGAAACTATGTTATTCAATATTTCAAGCGGTTTATTGAGTCTATTTCTATCGGTTTATTGAGTCTATTTCGCTGGTCGTACCTCTTCTTGATTTGCTTTGTAGGTCCTCTACTGCGCTGCCCTCGAAAATAAAGGATGCTAAAGGATGATTGGTCCCAGAACTCTTTCTTTCTCTTTATCTGTTCTGGATGGGGGGGGGCTTCATACAGATGCTCTTAAGCCAGCGCACGGTATACCCTTCGCTGGTTGCTGGGTCCTTAGCAGCCATTCCACCGATTCGATGAATCAATTCATTGCTCCCAAGTTCGGTCACCGAACTTCAAGTGTCAAGGCCTCTAAGGAGGACTGCTAGGATCCCTGACAAACATCAACCTCCCGATGAGATCTGATAGGCACCACCTGCCCCGCATCAACGTCCTTTTTGTTCTCCTCGCTCGGTCTCCTCTCACCTGCAGTTGCTCCAAGGTGCTTCATCTGAGGATCCGGATGCTTCGTCCCGACCCATTGGTGACTGACAAAGATGGCAATGCCTTGGCCGCAAAAGAGCTCCAAGACCTGCTCGGAGAGGAGCTCCTGCCGGGCAGGTGGATTTTCGGGCAGCAGCTTTCGGGCCGGAATCGGACGAATTATTAATGGGAGAATAAGAGAAAAAAAGGCGGCCCCATCTTACGAAGGGCATTGGAGAATTGTAGACTTCAAGAGAACATGGTGACGAGAACGATGGCAAGTCACTATCACCTTTGCGTCTAAAAAGACCAACACAAGGACGCACGCATGCTTTCTTTTGGTCTTCGGAATCCGCAAACATATCATCCAGTGTTTTCCAGCGCAAGTCCGAGGACTAAACTATGTCACAACATAGCCACCGAAGTCGAAGTCTCGCTTTCCTCGTGCGGTCTCATGGTCGAAAACGTTAAGAAGGTCTCTTGCCGCACCTGGGAAACGGCTCGCAGGGCCGGAGGGCTCAGTCCTACCTGGCTACCTATTAAGGGGGGGGCTTAAACAAATGTAGGTTACTACTTAAGGTTACAAGATCTGGGGAGTGCATGGAAAGTGAACCTAAAACTGTAAGCTTACATTAATTCCAGGTAAGCAAAAAAAACATGTAGGCTATATTGTTCAAAAAAGGACTAAACCATTGTAACTTACATGTGTTCAATATCACCCTCAAAGACATAAAATGGAAGCTGTCTTGGGTTAGGCCACTAGAAAACCATAGAAATATATACAATAGAAACGGCCCTGGGAACTTAAGAATTTATTCTTTATTATGCAAGCAAGCTGTTGTAAGCTAGGAAGGCCCAAGCAAGGCAGGGTTAGGGAACCTACCCCTTTCCCAATCCCTAGCCTACAGTTCCCCACCTCCCAAACAAATGTGAGTTGCTTTGGGTTAGGTGTCCTGGAAACCATTGAAATACAATTGCAAGGCCCAAGAAAGTTCAATCATGTACCTTTTGCATCCATTTTTTCACAATGCTTCTTACATCTTCCTTACTTATTTTTTTAGGGGGTCAATAAAATGTGACTTAGGACATGGGACGTGGTAAGTTACCTTTCGTCCAGCCCCCCTAAAAATGCATGCTGACACATGCCACATCCTCATTTCCTGATGAATTCCCAGGAACACGCAAGCAACACACAGCAAAAAAATCCGAGGGGGGAACCATGAATATGGGGGCCCTCAAAAATTGTAAGTTACATTCTTTTAGGCCCCCCCCAAATGGTATACTAAGGGGGTAGGGGTCAAGAGTGGGGAAGCCCTTGATCAAAAGTGCAGCATTCGTCCTCCATTGCTCACCATCCAACTTACTTACAAAAACATCTCCCTGCTACACAGTTTCCTCCATCCTGAACTGACAAAACTCCTCTGTCCCAGTGGCCGTGTACATGGGATACACCAGCTGCGGCAGTTCATGCTTGCCCTGACTTGCACGCCTCAGCGCACAAGCATGGGCTAGCAATGGCGATGTAGGCCTCAGAGGCGATGGATTGTCCCAAAAGCAGGGCCACATGTGAGCAAAGCGGTGGATATTCCACACCCGTACAGCAGCGCTCGCATGGACGTCAGATTCGACGCCGGATGGACCCGTTGCTGAGGACACGTGTCCTCACAAGCTTGCAGGGTGTGCGGGATGGAGTGAAACTGAATAGATACATGTCACTGTGGGACCCAGTGTCTGCAGTGTTCCTCAACCTGAGGTACAGCAAGAGCTGGATGCTTGGAAGTTGTGATTCTCCCTTTTTTCACAGCCCTCTGAGCCAAAGAAGCTGCAGAAGTGGCTCCGTTGGCACGGAAAAGCACCTGGAAGTGACATGAATTCAATAGGACTGGTCCACCATGCCGATGTTGGCACCGCCAACTAGAAAAACCACAGTGAGCTACAGCCCCAAAGCTGGTGGAATCCATACCCTAATGCAAACTCTTGATGAATAACACCCCATATGAAAAGGTGTTTCCGTGCCAAATGGCGGGGTTTAGTGCCCAAAGCAAAGGCTACATTACACCAAGCAACTAAACCATTGCGACTGCTGGAAATTACTATCCCTAGGGCTCCAAGTACATCCTCAGAAGGTGTTTGGACCCTCCTGGCACCCACCCCAGTCCCACCTTTTCAGAAGGTACAACTGGAGCCCTATAGGGTATGTCTTCCACATCTGTTTCTGATCAAACATCGCCCCACGGATCGAGCACTCCTCGGATGCAACGGCGACCGGTCGCTGCCCTCACATCGAGCAGGATCGGCGCCAGCAGTGATGGCTGTTGGATGGGTCAACTGCAACCGGCCGCGCCGAAGTATTTCTTTTAAAGGGGCTGATTGCCCCTCCCTCACCTGATCTGGCCCAGCATCCTCAAGGATATGTGCCCAGCTTTTTTCCAACATCTCTCCGTGGGCTCCGGCTGCGGTCGCGCAGCACCTCGCCACAATTAACCACACGCACCTCCTGCGAGGCGTTGAAGCAGGAGAGTTGCAGGCATGATGCATGAACAGCTGTTCTTCAAACCCTGGCGCCTTATTTGCCTCACCTTTTTGCTTGGCCAAAGCAATCCCAAACAAGCATCTAGTGCTTATCTCAGTCTTTGGCGAAAGCTGCAACCAATGGTCTTCACAGTGGGGTGATGTTCAAGACTAGGGTCAAGAGTCCCACGGATGGTTCTGAAATCGATTGTTTCTGGCATTTTGCTGATGTCTTGCCTTCACTTAAGATCGAACAGTGCCATCTTCTGTTGTCCAGGGTGACATGTCAGGCTTGATCTTGGACCAGACCATCTATATTTTTGCCACGTGATCAAAACTGGTAATCATCAATGTCCAAAGCTTCCAAATCGAACCGGGTAGTCACCCACGTCCAAAGCTTCAACACAATTAGGGTGTTCTGACGAAAGCGGGCTAGAACTCCCGGATAGCTCAACTATAGCCCTATCTGCGGGAATTCTATATGACGAAAGCCAAAAAGCACGGAAGAAACACCAAAACATACCAAAACCAGCAAAGCCCGCCGGAAAAAGAACGTGGTACGTTGGATATCTGATATCTTCCTTCGTGAGGAGATGTTCAGATAGGTTCAGGGTGGGCTGTTCTAAGACGGAATCTCTGAAGGCAGTCCCCGGCCTGTGGAGACCGTATATTGTGTATAGTTAAGTGAAGCACTGCCTGGTTTGGCTGACAGCAACCCAAACACTGCCATATCCAATTTGTAAATAACAATTTTACATTGGGGCGGTTTGTTTCAACAGGTGTATATATCTATACCGGATATCTTCCCAGCATATCTTCCCTGGAGTATTGGGAATTGGAAGGTCCACCGGGGCGTACGGCGCCTCACCCACTCACAAACCGTCCTTGCACTCGGAATCCCGGGCGTCCCGGATGTGTTCCAGAAACTCTTCACCTGAGAAAAGCACATCCAGGGCGAAAAACGCTCAACTGGCTGGTGCTTAGGAATAAGGGAATAAGCTCCCAGAGATTCCTTTGGATTCACTCTCCTTTTTTCCCTACTAAGCACTAGTCTGCTGGTTGAGAGTCCCATGAGTTTTTCAGGACACAAATTAAACGTCACGATGTTTGATGATTTTTTGTGTTTGGTGGCCAGCCACAAAGTAGTTGTAAAATGTGGTAAATACTTCCGCTAGCTAGACATTTGCCACGTATTTGGATTAAATATGGTGAACTGAAATACATTCGCATGCTTTGGCACAAGTTAAGCCTCTCTGACTCCCTCAAATTCCCTGGAAGATAACATTCAACCCTTTTGATCCACCTGTTACTTGCTTTGTGGGGAAAGCAGCCCCCCCAAAAAAATGTTTGAAGGTTTATCTCCTTTTCCTGGATCACTGGCACGTTGGAACGCTTCGATCGCGAAACGGACCACGCCTCGACACAAACGCCCGAAGGCAGCATGGTCGCGGTCCAGGCGCGGTGCCGGAGCCAAGGTGAGGATGTAGCCTTCAGGCCGACGAGCAAAGCTGGAAACCAAAAACATATTTAGGTGCAGTGAACGACCTGGAATCAGAATGGGCATGCGGCATGGAACATGGAACATCAGAATGGTCGTTGGTGACCTCCCAGGTGTTGAATGGCATAGACAGGATATAGCATGTGCAATATACACATATATGCATGTATGTTATATTGTAGCCATATATTGTAGATATGGGCTGCCACGCTGTCCCGAAGAGATGTACAACAAAATCCAATAACATGGGGAATGACTGTGGATTGGAGTGGTGTGCCACGGACGTGCTGGCAAGCTGCATGCAAGGGAGACTGGCAGACTGGCAAGAGGTTGAGCAATTTACATCCCAACCCGACAAAAGTTGAAGCTGACTTGATGCTAGCCTATGCATCCAGAGGTGGATTCCGGGATGGACTGTTGGTTGGCACGGGATGAGTTTCAACGACTGGCTTGGCTGGAGAAACTGGAGGAAGGAGTCAGGCCTTCATGGGCGAGTGCCCCCCATCAACTCCAGCTCCAATGAAATGGAGGCTTTCTCTCGAGTGACCAATCTGGCCACCTGGTCATCCCCTATCCCATACACTCCATGTATTCCATATATGCCTACATTGACCCCTCAAACCACCCCAATGTAGGCATATATGGCAGTCCCCATGGAGTGTCTGGGTATTGAAGAAATCGGACTGCCATCAAGAACTCGAAAACGTGTCGGCAGGTCAACCACCTATGAGCCACGCATCTGGACGTCGAAGTGCTAGCACATGTCTGCTAGTCACTAGTCCGAAACCTAGAGTCCAAACCAACCAAAAGTACAAACTCATCAAAATCATAAACCTTTAGTCATCTTCCAGCATCTAGCCCCTACACCTGACCTATGCCACCAAAAAGATTGTGCCTAAATATCACCGTTGCTACCGACTGCGAAAATAGAACCCCAGCCCCGCCTGCGAAATCGTTCTTCCGGGACACGGTGAGCATTCCGGGCTCCGTGTGCCCGAGCCCCACACCAGTCTCCGCCTCCGGATCGCCTGGGGCGACCGAAGCCGAACTCGTCCGAACCCCGTCGTGCTGCAGTTCTCGCAACGCAGGACGGTCCGATCCTCCATCCCTTCGGGCGGACGCGCGCCCGTCTCCCACGCCGAAGGGGCCCAAATCGCCGCCGCCCAGCACCGCCATCAGCGCGGAGACGGGCGCGAAGCGCCGGTCGCGGAGGCGGCCGGCCGCGCAGTCCTCGAGGAGGCGGCGAGTGGCCTTGGGCGCGGCCTGGCGAGGGCCATGAAGGAGCCAGAATCGAGGAGTAGCCGGCCGGGCCTAAGCCAGACACGATCTGGGATTGGGACGTTGACAAATTGGGGTGGTTGAAAAGGGTATCAAAGGGAAGAAATATGTTCATACTTGGAGTGTTGGGGCTATAACATCATGGGAGAAAATGGGAGAAAGAGTTGCCTGGCTTCCCCAAGGTCGAAGAAACCCTCAAAAGGTTAAAAGGTCGCTGATGAACTGGAGTATTCTCGTCCTGATGAACGCAGCTGCGTCTGCTGCACCCACTCTTTTGCCAAGCTGGATCAGGGCCCACAAGGGGTGGTTCATGAAAACCCTTTGATACCGGGGCCATTGGCCTGGTAATTAGACACCCAAGCGCGGGGGGGGGGATGGAGGGTGTCGACTGCCTCCCATGTCCTCTCACCTACCTCTGCCAATGGCACCTCTTTGGGGAAATTCCAAACGTGTCGCCACCCATCCTCGGGTGGGTGTTTCCCCCGCAGATCGTGCCTCAGGGTCCAACTCGAACTCCAGTGCTTCCTGATAGTCCTGGGTCCAACATGAGCTCCAATAGCTAGTGCATCGCAGCTAGTGGGCATCGCTACTAGTAGCTAGCAGCTATAGAAGCTATACTAAACGTAGCTTCTTGTTACTAGCAGTAATGCCGTTACACGAGAGCTCCAAAACCACAGCGAGGCCCGGAAAGCCGGTCCCTGGGCGAAGCCCAGCCGGTCGGTAGCTTGGCGAATCTGGCGTGGTTCGGGTTGCAATTCTGGGAGTGATCCACTGCAATGATCCCTCCAGTGTATATACATACACACTGTATATAGCAATATTGAAAAACATATAAATAAATAGAGAGAGAGATACTGAAAAAAATAATATATACATGAAAAAGAGAAAGAGAGAGAGAGAGAGAGATGGCTCTCATTCACATCAACCAGCTGTAGATTCATCCCTCCAGCTTTTTGAAGGTCACTTCCGTTTCACGCTCTGCAATCCAGGCTCCACACCAAAGAAGGCACCGCGGAAAATAGCGATCCTCAGATGCAGTGTCATCCCTATACTGAAGATCTCATGATCGCGTGTGAGACGGGTGTCCACATGTTTTAGGGTCAGAATGCCAATTCAGGGTAACGTTGCGGAGACAGAAGCAACATGAATTGAATGAATAGAATGACCAGGAGTGACAGGGTTGCCGCGCTCTTGCTAAGAGGGGGTGGCTCTTAATCAGTGATGGGCAACATATGACAACATCCTGCAACAGGGATACGCTCAAGCATAATAATACAAAGTGCCATCCCGGTCCTAGTCTCGCTTGATTGCCTTAAACCCCGCATCATCTGGTCGCTGTAAGGATGGTGAAACGACCTTCAGCCCCTTAGGCTGGAAGGATGAACCCAATCGCGCTAACTTGGCCCATCAAGCTGCAAGCTAATATCAGGCGCTGAAAATCTAAGATCTTCTCAAACATCATGCTCTCACAGAGTTTCTCAAAACCCAACTTTCTTCCTTATTTATGTATACTGTTATACTGTATATCTTCCCTTCAGTCTTTCTTTCTGTATTGTTTCTTTCTGTCTTGTGTATTTTATCTGCTTTCTTTCTTTCTGTCTGTCTGTCTGTCTTTCTTTTGTATGTTCTTTCTTTTTTGCTCTCTCTGTCTCTCTCTCTCTCTCTTTTTCTGTGTGTCTCTCGCTACCGCGTCATCCACAAGATTAGCCATATGTGTATTTCCGACCCTTTCTTTCGAGAAAGAACATGAGAAGCTTAGCAAGGTTCAGCAATGTGGTAGCTGCTAGCTGCTCAACCAGGATTTCCTCTTTGGGGACCCCTCCTCAATCCAGGCATTCTGGTGGACAGATCCATCCAAATTCCATCGAGGATCTCCAAATAGATCCTGCACAATCAGTTCCAATCTCACCAAAGCAGGTTGCCTCCCAGTGGCCTCCCCTAAGAAACTGATGATATATTGTCCGAAACTAGCCCCACCAGCACTTAAAGGAACACCTGACCAAAAGCCTTGCAAACTATGGCTGTGGGCTGGTTGAAAATGAACCAGGGGCCAGGGCCCATAAATATTTGGATGCACACGATCCTAAGAATCCGGTCGTTGGTGGATCAACACCTCGACTCTAGATATGCCTCATGGACTCTTTTGGCAAACAACCAAGTAGGAGGAACTCCCACACCCTACAAATGGCCTGTCCTGGGTTTTCCACTGCTGGCGCTCTGCTTTGGCAGCAAGCGGCTGACGCTGACACCTTCTGTGTCCCAGTCGTTCTTCTTGTCTTCGCTTGGCTTTGGCTCCTGACCACCGGCCGAGTCGCAGATGATCCAGGGGTTCAACCATGATGGCCACTGTTTTGGCTTTGTTTGGTTGTTGAGTCGATTTGTGGGTTTAGCCCTTGCAACCAAATGAAATCATGGAGTTGAACACCGCCTATGGATGGCAGACTTGCTTGTCACTGGTGCATTCGATACCGTGGGTATCTCAGTGATTTGAAGACTCATCGAATTGTGATTAACAGGCAACAGGCAAGACTGCGCGGAAAGCTTTGTCAAACCATCTCAAACCCAAAGTAAATAGGCCAGTGCCACTGATAGTTACATGATAGTTACATGTCTGTTGAATCCTGGGACCCCCAAAAGCTACTTGAACAAACAGCACGGTTACCATGTTAGCTCATCCAAGCACTGAATCCATCACCCCCGGCCCCGTCGTCCTCGGCAGTGCGCGCCGGAAGCGCCGCGCGCTGCTTGGCCGAGGCCTTTGCCCGGCGGCCAAAGACCACCGCCATGGCGCCACGGGGGCGGTGGGGGGGGAACCCTAAGGAAGGTGAGAATCTCCTGGTGGGATAGACTCAGATAGATAGATAGATAGATAGGATAGGATAGGATAGGATAGATAAATAGATAAATAGATAGATAATGATAGATAGATAGATAGATAGATAGAGACTCCAAGAGATTGCTCTTTTCCAAAAGCTTGGGAAGTTGGCAAGTTGCGGGTGAGTTTGTCCCACTGATAGATACTGGCAGCTGCCGTGAAGAAGGGACACATGAAAGGGGCAATTGTCTGAATCATGCAGCTGAACTACTCAGTTGCCCCATTGAAGTTCTCCAAGTTCTTTGCGTTGATGCCGTGCTAGGACCAATGCAATCAACCAAGCGTGCTCAACACGTCCAATGCCACGTGTGCTCTGAAAGATTTCTCTGAGCCACTGCTGGCTGCCAAGTTCTTGGCCTTTCAGGAGCATTCTATTAGCTGATGTGAATGAGCATGCTCAGAGCCGCTGTGACAGCGTATCTCTCCAATGAAATTTCAACTCGGAGGACCATTTTGCACGGGTGCTACCACCACAAAGATCTTGTCGTGGATCATTGCCAAGAACAAGCAGCCACAGACTGTACAACGGCCGGGGCAATGATTTGGAGATATCAAGGAAACACAGAGGGTCAGGTTAGCCTTAGCTCGCAATGAATTCCCAATCCCCGCCCGGTTGTGGCACGGGGACAGGCATGCAACAGCAACATCCAAAAACAGAACGGCACTGCTGGCTTCCGTGTGACCAATGGCCTACTTGCCTTTGATTCCGCTATCCCCAACACTCCAAGGAATACATACATACATACATACATACATTACATTACATTACATTACATTACATTACATTACATTACATTACATTACATTACATTACATTACATTACATTACATTACATTACATTACTTACATACATACATACATACATACATACATACATACATACATACACACACAGCACCCACATGAACACCTGAAACCATCCCAGTGGTGCGCGGACTCCATCCGTCAGTGTTCAGTCGACTGAACCGGAGACTCTGACGTCGACGTCCCAGGCATGTCCCAAGCCATGCCTGGGAGGTCGTGAGATTCTTGGATTGATCTTCGTGAGACGTGATTGGTGGAATTGAACCAGTTGATTTCCAATGTGCAATGCATCTGGGAATGACATGTCTTTTTTGTGTCGTCCGGCTGCAGCCAAACTGTCCATGATTGGTTGGACATGTCCAGATGATGGATATGTTCATACACTTATATACACCCTAGGGCTCCAACCACCTCCTCAGAAGATGGTTGGGGTGGGTTTAGAAGAGGGTTTAAGCAAGTACTTTCTGAGGATGTGGCTGGAGTTGGGGAAATGGTGCCATAGCCTGATGTTGCCAACAAAGGTGAGCCCCAGCAACCGCAGTGAGCCTCTACTGCGATTACCGCATCGCCCCGGTGGAGTGAAGTTTGAGGTGAAGCACCCCATCTTCCTTGCCAAGCATCCAGCAGTGACACCACCTGCCCATGGTGCAGAGTGGAAGGAGGACACAAACGATCAGCGCTCACTCCATGTACCAGAACGAGTTCCCCTGACACTGGAAGGGGAAGAACACCAAAATAAGGAAAACAAATGATCCTAGAATAACGCACCAAAATACACCAAGACTGCACTCCACCCTCCCTCCACCTGCCGCGCCGGTCGCGTCTGCGTCCGGCACGTCGGCACCGCGTTCCAGCTCCGCCGCTTTGGGTGTGTCCGCCAGCTGCGGGGACGCTGCGAGGACGCGCGGCCGTACCGAGGCATTGAGCAAGGCGCTGGGCGGCTGCTGATGCACCGTGGAGGCCATGATGAGACCTGTAGAAGCGGAGTGCAGGAGGGACCGAAGGGGGTGTGAAGCGGAGCGAAGCGAAGCGCCAAGCGGCTGGGTATTTGGGTTTTGCGCCGGGGCCATGATCATATAGGGGTGGAACAGTGCGTGAGGGTGGCCACATGAGGTGGAGCATGGCCTCGCTTCTGTCTGCGGAGTGCATGACTTGAAGAATGAGTGACCATCAAACAAAGCAAAATCAGCCTCGGATGGTCTACCAAATGCCCTGAAGTGAAAACCATGGCTTGACCATCCACAATCAATTGTTTTGGGTGGGTGCTGGACCATGTTTCTTGTGCATCACTCCGTCCAAGGAGCTCGAACCCCTCGGCGAAACGTCCAAGGAGCTTGATCGTTCCACCTTCTCGATGGGGTTCACGTTCTCCTGCCACGGCTGGGTTCGCCGCTTCCCCTAGGTGTTTTTGATTGGTCTATAGCACCGATATACGGCATATCCATATCTGAGATGCTGCTAACCAAGGCCGATACTGGGGACACAGAACTACCTTAGAGGCTAGAGGGTCATGTCCCATGTTCTAGAGTACTTCAAGTCGGGTCCAGGTACATACAAGTGCTGCTTCTATCTCCAAAACGGGGACTTGTAGTGTAGGAGGAAGAAACACACAAACCAACAAACAGCCCCCCACTTCATCTCAAACCACGTTCAGCTATATTACAGTAAACGGTAAACGGATAAAATTTGGCAACGACATAAGAACACGTTGTGGGTCCTTGTAACGCTGTTCAGTATGCTTATTGCTGAGTTAGGGTAACTATGCCTATAATGCACCCCAAAAGGGGCCAAAAACAGATTCCTGTTGGTCTTCCGGGAAGACTATCAAATATTCTGATTCCACCCTCACCTGGATCACGGTCTCGGTGACTGTTTGGTCGAAGCAATGGGTCGCCGCCACCACGATGTGCATCTCTGCGTGGCCTCAGGCAATGCAAAGGAGGATTGGAGGATGGATCCTACCACAATGGGAACTGCATGTTCCAAGAGCTCGTCAGAGTGTGCAGGGAAGCCTATCATCTTCCAAGTTGAAGCCTTCAATCCATAGATGTTTCTCTAGACAGGGGCCCTTTTCCATGTCTATCAGTCTATCTATGTTGGTCACGGTCGCAAGGTTCACACCCAAGGCCCAAAGTGCTCATAGATAGGGTATATCATATTCCCATAAACCTGCAACAGCGGATGATGCTGGTATATCATAGGCCCTGCTGGTTAGTATAGTGATTCTTTGACTGTTAGAGGTCATGGTATACACCCTACTTGATATCTCTTTGATGCAGAGGCCAGTCACCCAGGCAGACCAACGTGCGACTCCGACTCCGACTACGGGCCAGGTCCACAGGTCAGGTCCGAAGGGCGAGTCCTGTTGGTCAAATCCTGTTGGGTTGACATCCCGATTCATAACCCCCCCCGCCATTTGGATGCTTGATGCTCTGTGAAATACATCCAGAGTCTACATGGAGATCTGTTCATCTTCAGGTCCACCAAGGCGACGGGGCTTTTGCCCACCATCCCGCCATCCGCGCGGAACGGGCGGAATTCCGGCGGTCTACTCGGCTCGGCACCGATCCGCACGGGGGGGGCCCACCGTTGGCGCCGAGGATCTCAAGGGGAGCGCCCCGGATTTGGTGATGGCATCCAACAGGTCGAAGGCGGCGTCCTTCATTCCTGATGCCGGCGGACGTGTCCGCCGTGTCCGGTTGGACCAAGCAAAACCGGATGAAATGGTTACAATATACTGTTTTCATTCATGATCAAACCCAGTGAAATGAGGTCCTTGACCTGCAGGCGTTCTGGAAAAACAAAAACAAAAAAGCCTCTCATAAGTCATTACACGCTCTATAGTCATGAATTGAACCACCTTGAGCAAAGTAATTGAAGAATACACTGACTCTTCAATTGTCTTCCATTGGAAGAGATTGAACATCTAACACTACGTGGCACACGTTCGATGCCCAAAGATGCCCAACAGGAAACCCATTAAAGTGACGACCTTCGACGGGTCCTCAAACTCGCTTCCTTTCGACTGTGAACCAACCAGTGAAGACCTGGAATTCGGAACCACCTGGCCTTAACCTCGAAACCTGTTTCACACCTGTGTATATGTATACGGTTGGATGATGGTTCACTTGCAGTCCGACATCTCTAATATATAGCTCGATGTTGTGAAACCCGACGGCTCGCCAGTTCGGACCCCGAACCGTGAACTCGGCCAAGAGCTGCGTTCGGACTTCCGCCCGAGGCTCGGTGCTGGGCCTCGGCCTCCAGGGACTCGGTCTGCCGTGCCGCGAGGAGTTTCGGTTGAGAGGACTTGGTCCTGGGCGGCGCCCACCGACGGAGCGTTTGGGTCGCACGCGTCGCGCGCCGGAGCGCGCGGACGCGAAGGTTTCAACAAAGCAGCGACCGAACGATGAACGCACCTCTTGGTGTTGTAAATCGTTGTGACGTAACGTGGAAACTCAAGAGATGATTTTGGCACTCCCTGCTGACAGAAGAGGGATTTTCTAAGTAGAAATCCTTCTTCGGTCAGCATGGAGTGGTCAGTGGCTTAGCATGGCCTGGCCAAAAAAGAGTGGCGAAAACACAATAACTAAGTCACTGTTGATCACTTCTGTGAGACAAAAGTGGGACAAGCTGAAAAAGCCGACTCTGAAGTCGCTCATCTTTCATTAGAGGGGTGACGAGGGGAACGACTACAGAATTCCTCTGATAGGAAGGTGTAGCAACAAAGGAACTGCCAAAGGAGTTCGAAAGGGGTGGAATTTAGACACAAAGTGACTGGAGAGCGGGGGGCACCCCTTACCCTCCAATAAAGGCAGCAGTCAGCAGTCACCCCTTTCGCAACTGCTGGGATAACCATAGCCTCATAGCTCGGGGGCTCTAAAAGTTCTGAAAGCTCTTGACCTGCCATGGCCCACGGAAGGTGTAGGTCACTCGGGGGGGTGTGAACAGATCAAAAAACGAATCCTTCTTCGTTGGCCAGCTCCAAGTGCTCCTTCCAAGGACTTTCTCCATCCTCCATCCCATGTATCGAATATTTGCCGACCTTCGTGTGGTTTAAGATGTTTGAAGGGCCAAGGGCCAAATGTTGGTGTAAATTGTATACATACAGGCCAACATAAACAGTTATAAGTAAATATAATTACATTGAAGGGCCAACATGTATCAATTGAAGGGCCAAATGTTGGCACAAACATGTACCAGGACCCTCCTGGCCAGGCTGTTTGGAGACCCCAACGAATGGGTGAACCTGGGCAGACTTGTCACCAGGAAGCACCTGTAGCGGCGGGTGCTGGTATAAATATGTTGAAGGGCATATACTTGGTCCCAAGGCCCCAAGGAGTGTTGAATTGACTTTCCTCCACTTGACCAGGTCCCCCCGAGGCTCCAAGAGCTTCCAGGCGTGATGATCGTGGGGCGCAAGGTGCTGTCCTCAGAGGCTGATCACGTGCTGTCCTCTAACAGGGCGGAACGAACATTACGCTGCCTGGCTTGGAAGAACACAGTTTTAAACATACTCTCTCAAGGCAAAATGTATGAATGAGAATTCTCCACCCACCCACCTGTCTTTGTTCTCACACTGTCAACAAGGTCTGAGGTGCCATTCAAGGCGTCCACTCTCGCTGAATTATCAGATAATTCAGGGAAGTATGAGGTATGTGAGCAGGAGTGTTCTTGTCATGAGCTGTCTTACAATCTTTTTGTCATTGTCAAGGGTTGGTGAAACGTTCAAAAGGATTCAGAAACCTCTCCTGTGTTTAATCAAACGGAATTAGACATTTGACTTGGTTGTGTGACTCAAGTGCAGTATATTGACTCAGGCGATCCTAACAAACATACCAAGTCGTGGAAACATATGCCACCAACACTACTTTCAATTTGTGGGAATGTTTGAGGCCGCCGTTGCGGCACGACTAGGGAGGAGCTTCGCCGCTCCTGGCGACATCAAGAAATTGACCGGAACAGTTCCCAGTGTCACACCCCCCAGTCCCCGTCCCATGGGTCGTACCTTCTCTCCATTGGAATAACAATATATTGGGTCTCCCTCAGCACTGGTGAGACCCTCAGGCTTCGCGAATCCCGTCACCATGCAAGGCTGTGCCCCACGCAAGCATCGCGCCACGGTGGAGACCGAGATGCTGGATCCAGCTTTTCGAACTGCTCGTCCATTTGCTTGGCGACACCTCGAGAGCTCGGCGGGGAGAGCTAAGCGTGGAAGCGGAGAACGCCTCGGATTCCCTGAATTTTAAAGAGGTTCACTTTTTTGTGACCTGTTCTTGTTTATAGTGGAAAGCACTCCCCTAAAGAGGGAGAAACTATATATATAAAGGTTCTTTTTGGCTTGGTCCATCTCAGAGCTGACCACTATATAGGGCGGAAGATGCAGCAGGGGCCGAGTAAGGTGTAGCACTTGTTGGATTACAGTTTTGGCTCGGACCGCCAGCAGAACAAACAGAACAGTAACATCCCCATTCAGTGGCCGGTGGTCTAGCCTCTTTGGGATTTGGATTCTCGGCTTTCCAGCCATCACTTGGCTTTTGAGTTGGGAATGCCTTCCCGGTGTTTGGAACTTGGCTCCAACCCCTTCCACCTACCAAGCCCGAGCGCCTCCACCTTCCTTCGCCACCGAGCCACGTGTGTAGTCTCGGGCCTTGACCAGCTTCTCCGCCGCCCCGCCGCTGCCCGTGCGCGGCGCGGTCGTCGGAGCCGTCTTGGCCCCGACCGGAGCGCCCGCGGTGGACGAGGCTGCGCCACCGTTGAAGTCTTCAGCTTCAGTCTGCATCTCCTCAGGTGGAGCAAGTGAAGCCAAGGGAGTGAAAGCCGAAGTCGTGACTTGCGACGACTTGGCTTTCACATGACGCGCTGATTTGGTTCTAGGACCGTCTCCACCAACCAAAAGCTCTTTGTGGGGGAGCAAAGCCCACCTAAACTGCACGGAGAAAGAAACTCTCGAAGAGTGGGTGGATTTGCGAGGAATTCCAGTGGCGGTTTCTCCGTTCTTGGAAGCAGTGCCCAGGCGGACCGAAATGGGTAATACATGATAGTCCCCTTCCTGGAACTAACATGGAAGTTGATGGCACTCTCTGCTTGGTATTCGGAACATGGTCTTCCTTACGCGGCCAATGTTCATCCTCAGTTCGGGAGCATGCTGCCAGTGAAAATATGTTGTACATGATTGTGTATACCTGCGGCTAAAGGTGGCCTTGGGGCTCTACATCGTCCAACAAGCCGGTGGCATGACGATTCAGAGGTGGCTATGGATACCCTGATCTCAGTGCAATTCACGACTGCATCAGGCTTAAACCTGCCACCCACCAAGGTTTCTGGAAACGTGATCTGACGATCCAGGAAATCTACAACCGGGTAATTAGTCCTCCCTGGAACTCACATGGAAGTGGATGGCAGTTGCCGAACGAGTAGCCACTGCAACGCAGTGGAACAGTGGAGTCATGCAAGAGTATACACCCTGGTGACCCGATGGTCACTCACCCAGCTGCTGGGATTGGATACCTTCGCAGGATTTGGTTGAATCAACCAATGGCTCTGCAGCTTCAATTTGGGTTTGGTCTTGGCAGGTCTCCTTTCTTGATATACGCCCTAATTATCCCTAATTGACTTCATGACATGCAGGACTTGCGTATAGTAGTGTGCGCTTGCAAAGGAAATCAGCCAGGACCCTCTTTCCAGTCTGTTTCCTGTGGATCCACATCCTGCACCGCGCCAAGCAGCGTCGGCTTCCCCTTCCTCCTTTTCCATGTCCTCATCCTGAAATGCTTTCACATGCACGAATCACATGTTTATATTTGTTCAACTGCCCCCAGCCAACGTGATTTGGAACAGCTTCTCCCCCGGTTTCCCGCATGCGAGTTTCTATCCTCACTTCCTGCCAAATATCCGCACCCTGCGCAGCTTCAGAACTCTGTTGTACAAAGCAAGTTTCAGGACCCAAAATCATTAGGACATCCATTTCCCATCCACTCCCCAAGAAGTAGAAACGCCTCAAGTCAAGACTCCTCAAAGAGAAGCAATCTTGATCTCCCGGTTCCCCCCCAGAAAACGGAGAAAGAAAAACAAGTGGCAAATGGGGCCCTTGGAAGACTACTGCCCTCCACAAACAGGGGTGTGTTCCACTTCCATAGTGAGTTGGAGTGTACTTTCAATGGTAACCAGCTTCACATCCCCCCTTCCCTGAACCGGGGTGCCAAATTCTAGCGTTACACAGGCGCATCCATGGCCGAATGACGAAGGTTTTCGGTGCTTTCGTCTCTTTTTCCCAGGGTTCTTCCCCAACTCTTCCGTTGAGCCGCAAAGGAGCTCCAGTCGACTGACTCCCGAGACGCGACACACTTCACATGCCTCCTCACACTCGGACATCACTTCGTCATCGTAGAAGTCCTGGAAGGACTGAAAAGAAAGACGAGGGCCTAGGGAACACGCCCTGGAACTAAAAGTGGAAAACACATTCACAGTTCGGACCCCTAGAAGACAATTCTACTCGACGAGCGGGGAGTTTTCCACTATAGTCACTAGTGACTACTAGTGAGTGGAGGACATGATCGGAATATCTGCAGGTCCATCTTGGGATTTGTCATCCTGCAGTATAGATAGAATAAGGGGCAATCCAAGAACCGATGGGAAAAGGTGGTCATGTCTTTGGATGCTTTGTGGATTGGATCATATTCTATCTACTCCAGGACCCAGGATGGTTGTACATCAGCAGCAATGCTCTTAGTATCCATCACTCGAGGCCGGAGCGGTGTTTTGCGCAGGTCTCACATATCTAAGAACTACCACCAGAAGTATCAAGCCCCTGAACCAAGAAAGCAACTCCGGTGGCCACAGCGCACCTGGAAGTCTTCCATTGATTTTACCGGAGCGGCCGGCCGCGGCGCCGCAGCAAACGCTCCAAGCCGAGGTCCAGGTGTTCTCAAACCTTCTGAAATTGGTGTTGCTCCCTTTGGCGCCCTGCTTTGAGGCCTTCTGGCCCTGGGGCCTTGTGACCCAGCAAAAAGCGGGTCAGCCATATCACTTGAACATCCCCCCCTTCCGCGCGCATTCCGCCCATCTTCCTCGGCGTCGTCCGCAGCCTCCGCCTGCTGAGGGGCGTCGTGCATCTGAGATCATCTGGGTATGCATGGAATCTGTACCTACAAGGAATTTAGGAGGTAGACTCCAAAGACTCCAATGTGGGTAATTTTATGCAATACATGGGGTGTAAGGGATCATGCACAGGAATGTATCATGGATACATACAAGAGTGGTAAAAGTATACTGAGTTCCCCTTGCTGTCACTTGAATATACTTACAGAATCCCAATAATCTACCACAGTGCGTCGAGGTGCCATCCGTGATTTGCAGACCCGGAAACAGCCATAACACACCACACACATTTTCTGGATCTGTCTCCCCTACTTTGCTGCTTCCCCCTATTTTACCCAAAACAACTGACACACCAACTGTTCTCTCCACCTCCACCTCCATCCATTCATCACCCTACCTCTCTCTATCTCCACTCAAAAAAGAAATGCCTCGCGCCTTGACACGGCAGACCTTCTTCGAACTCCGTCCCACCATTTTGTTCATCATCGCGCCAAAGCCGCCCAGCAACGACCTCTTCGGCGGGGGATCACTTGGTGTCGCGTGTTTCTCTCGTTTTTTTGTGTGGAAGACGGAGGATCCATGGAAGACTGTCGCTACATGTCGATGCTGTCGCTAGGGATGAATAGAAGTGTAAGAGGTCTATCCCATTGCCGAGGTCCGGATGATGGGGACTGGTTGCAGGCCTTTCCATCTCTAAAATCGTGGATGTTCTTGTGAAACCCGACGGCTCGACAGTTACATGTCGTAGCACAAACCAAATAACTATATTATATATATATAATATAACTTGGATCCTGTTCTGAGGTGGTGTGCCAAAGGGATTCAAAAGCATTGGATTGGGAGCCTTGGCTCGGGTCAAAGAAGTTGCTTGCATGGCATCATGGTCTATCTTTGATTGCCAGCCCAGCCAGCGGTGGATGGGCAGCTCAACTTAGTTCAACTGTCAGTTCAACGTGTCAGGCCAGGCCAGGGAAACTCAGCATGTGCCCTGCGGTGCGATCGGTGGATGGATCAATCACGGCAAACCCTTGATACCTTGGAAGGTCTTTATGGCACCTGGGCGCCGGAAGAGCGGTGATGGCTGGAGATCTACCGGCTGTCCCGAACTGAAGGCCTAATCAATCAGATCCCGAAAACTCATCCAAAGCTGTGGATGGTCCACCTGTGGATGAATGCAATCCTGACCTGACGCAAGATCCAATCCAATCGTGAGCTGACAAGATCCAATCCAACCCTGACCTGACATCATCATCTCGAACCCAATCCTGATCTGACAAATCATAACAATCCATAGACAATCCCACATATACTTCCATTCCAAGCTTTCTATGCCGACCCTGGTGGAGGCCCACACCACCACACCATCCGCGGCCCACACCTCTTACTCTTCGGCACTGGCTCGATCATGGGCCGACCCATGACTTCCACATGTCGTGGGGGACGGCCTCGGGTGTTCAGGCGGAGTCACGGGATTTGAGGCGAAGCACGGGGTTTTTTCGGCGAAGCGAAGCCACACGACATCTTCCGGGGTGATGATCTCCCCACCCTACTCCGTGAACTTTGTACCATAAATGGTACCATATGAGACCCTCAAGCGACCCCACAAAGTCACCAACTTGCATCCAGCTTGTTCAGCGCCATGCGATGGTGTCACTGCTTCGAAGTGATGTTCATGGGTTTTTGGATGCCAGTTAGCCTTTTAAACCGCTTGTCATTGAAGTTGATAGGTTGCATCTGTTGATCTTCGGGTGGCTAAAGGAAAGCCGTCGCCGGGTTGGAAGCACACCACCAAAAACTAGATCATCCTTCCCTTAGATGTTAAAGGGTGTCCATTAACACCCCCTTTTGGGTCTTAGTCGTGGATAGTCTATATTAGCGACCCGCTGGATGATCCCGGTCACTCTGGTCCGGTCGCTCAGCTCCGGTCACGCGGGGACATGCAGGGATGGGGTTTGCGCCAGTGCAGTGCCCCCCTACCATCGCTTGCAGAGTAATGAACCGCCCCAAGCTATTGGCCAAGTCACCCTTCTTCTGCTCCTGGCTGGGATGTTGCCCATGTTCGCCCATCATTGCCATGGAGGGAGTTCCTTTTTGTTGGGTAGATGGGCATCATCAGGAGGAGACACCCAAACTGGCACTGGCGGCGAAACGTTTCAAGACTCCAAACTCGAGCGAAGTATGGCCGCCAAGCTTGGAGCAATCTACACTCCCTGCCATCCCCGAAGCGCATCATGGTGAAGCGGACGGAAGCGGTGAAGCCCGGAAGTCATAGGTCCCGAGGTCCGAGGTGGGGCGCGGCAAAGAGAATACGGCAGTGTCGCTGTCCAATACAGTACGTACATTCGTGGGGATTCCACGCACCTCCTAATCGGTGAGACTGGGGGTCTATACTGGGGGTCTATACCTGGGCCCCCCGAAACTCGGGGGGTGTCTCATCAAATACTCTCCCTGCAACAAACATGGCAAGTGGAAAACCACCTGTTAGTGGAAAATGGTCTTCCAAGAAGCCATTCTCCACGTAACCATGTTACTTCGGAGTGTAGCTCCTTTGAGGTGATTTGGGGTGTCCATTCACCACCCCTGGCTCTGGGGGCCCTTGTGAGCTGTACACCTTTTGGAGGCCGTCGTCTGGACCCTCCAGGTGGGCTCAGCGGAGGCAGCGTTAACACGTTCGCAGCGAGTGAAACGCGTTCGCAGCGTTGCGCTCGCGTGGTGGGTGCAGAGCTGCGACAAATGGGATTTGGGGGGAGACTGACATCGCTGCTAACTGGGGGTGGACCTAAACCAAAACTACATAAAAGATCTCCAATTTAGCACACAAACCAGAGAATCCTTCTCCTTCTTCTTCAACTTCAGCTTTTCCCTCTCCTGGCAAGAAGTATGCGAGCCTATCCGGGCATGTTCAATCCATATGTAACATTTCACGATGACAAAGCAAAAAAAAAAAGAGATAAGACTCAACGGCACTCTCTCCCAGTGCAACTGATGGATCGAACGGGTTGTGTCGCGGCGACCTCCCTACACCACCAAGGTCTACTTACGCCCACCAACCAGCCACACGTCTTGGGGATCTGAACAAAAATTGAACCACACTCCAGCTCCCAGTGCATAACATATGCATAACAGGTTAGCAGCTTTGGAGCCATGGCTGCCAGTGAAAGCTTACCGAGGGATTCTGAGCAAGTACAGTATGAAAATCCAAAAAAATAGCACTTCATCAGCCTTCACAAGCTGATATCTATATTATATAAATATTTTTTGGCTTATACATATGTTTATCATGTACCAATCCAACAAGCATTATATCAGTTACACGTGAATCATCCATGTCCCTTTCACATCCCCTGAACTTCACACCCCTTCTTCAACCTACCTCCGGAGAAGGACTCACCGACTCAGACCTCTCCACGCTTCACAGATCGGTGAAGGACTCGCCTGCAACATCCGGAATTCCTCCTCTTGGATGCGTTCTTCGATGGATGCCTGCTTCCTGGAACATCACCCAACAAGGGGCGAGGTCTGGTCCAAAACGACCGGAAGCTGAGGACCAGCTGGGACAAGAAAGAACAAACCCTTGTGCAAAGGAACGCATCTCTTTCCAGGGAACATGTCTCGGATCTTTCCACGTCTGTGAGTCTCGGAATGGGTAGCACTGAGGATTCTCTGAGCTGAGGAAGTATGGACCGGATCGATTGGTTTTTCAACGATTGCTATCTTTAATGGACTGTGGCGGCTCGTGTGGGATCTTCACGAGCTGGACATGTATCAAGGGGCCAAGGGGATGTTTGGGAGAGATACACTCCGACGAACACACCACATGGAAGTGGACAATAGGCCTTTGGAAGACCGTTTTCCTTTGCAAACAGGTGGTTTTCTGGTTGTCCACTTCCAGGTTAGCAAGTCGGAGGGGAAGGGCCAAGTAAGGGGATGCTTTTGAGTGAAGAACGCATATTTTCGGGAGGCACTTGGCAACCCCGAAAAAACTTGTCTTGGTGGAGATCAAGTACTTGGTCCACACACTCCACGCTTACGGAGAAAGAATACATGCCCGTCCTTCTCCCTCATGAAACCCTAGCCGGCCCTACCTTGTGAAACCCCTACGTGGGTCACGCCACCAAAATTGCCGACCTCAAACTGAAACTCCTCAAAAACTCGAAGTGATCTGAGAACCCCGGTTGTGGGGGCCTCGTTGATTTCATCATGGTGGAAGTAGTTCGAACGCACATGAACGCATGACTGCGGATGATCCTGAAATCCAAATACCAAGCAGGCCCTATAGGTGTTGTGTCCATTTCGCGGTGAGGAGTGTCTCATCCCCTCGAAAACGGAGCAGGAGGCCAATGCAAAGCCAGGAGGCTCTGCTTCGATCATCTGATTCATGGCCTGAGCAAAAGCAACATAGGTGGAGCATTCCCTTCAAAGACTGTTGCATTATGTTGCATTAAAGGATGGAGCCTTTGCTACGCCCTGGTACCACATACCTGGCCAAAAAAAAAACAAACACTTCACAAGTGCAGCCTTTCACCAAACCATCCCAAGCCTCAACCCAAAAAGCAGCAAACATATAAAAAATCAAACGTCTCCCTGCCTCCACCTGCCCCTTCACCAGCTGCAGGCGCTTCTCCGCCGTGGCGCTCTCGCCAGGAAGGAGCAAATCATCCGAATACCTCCCATCCCAGCGTCAGTGGAGGCCCCATCCCATCGATGGAAAACACGATGAAGCGATATGAAGCGGATGGCACCTGGTGTGCATCCTATTTTTTGATGTGGCTCCAAACGAAGAACTCCATCCTCCACCACACTAACTCCACTCCATCAAAGTGGATGGCATGGACACGCTATAAGAGCCCGGTCCCCTACTTTCACTTGAAGTGAGTCGAAGGTAGCTAGCCACCCATGCAACAAGCAAATAAGGACAGGACAAGTTCTTCGACCGGGAAGCAAGCACCACAGGTTCATTGAGTCAAAGATCAAAGAGATGAGGTGAAAAGAGATCAAAGCTCAACAAAGCTTTCCCCGGCCCCTTTTTTGGGCCTTCTATTTGACTTATGGGAGGCCACTCCGTCTTCGCACCGGTATACCAGGTCCCCAGGTTTTCGACCTCCGCCGTCCTTCCGGCTGAATCCGTGACTTCGCACACCCGGCGGCTTCACCAAACCGGGCGAAGTCTTCCGTCTTCGGTGCGGAAGACTTCTCGTGCGGCCGAGCGCACGAGAGCAGGTCGCTGGGGATCTGGTACTTGATGAAAAGCCTTGGGTTTGGCCGTGACGTATCGTGATTGGGCGGGTTTGGCACTCTTTTTAAGGGCATTTTCTGCAGTTCAGATTGAAACACTGAAACACTCAACATCTCCTGAAGGTACATGGGTGAGTGCTTTCTCTTGTGATTCACAATATTCAAGGATCATAGCTTTCTTCACATCACCAGCCTAGCATCTTTGGTGGAAGTGCTCTAGTGTGGGAAATTGGTCACATTCGATTTGACATACTTGGACGGTGGCACGGCATGCTCTGTCGTAGGAGTTTCCTTACACACCACGGGGGCCACAACTGTGCCAATTTCTTTGAGAGTTTTGCTCTGGGCCTGTGATGGGCGCGACCCTCTCCATGAGGCACCAAGGCACTGCATCAAATCCTGGGTCAGTTTGATCTCCTCGGCCCATGGACTGGATGAAGGAACGCCCTTCAATGCCACTAGGTGGTAGACACACATCTTGAAGTGGTACCAGTAGCAAGTGCTTGAGATATCAGCATCCTAAAAGCCACGGCGTACCCTCAAAGAAGAGAGACAAAAAAAAAAAGAACAAGCAAACACGGAACATGGACCCCTTCATTGGCTATGCTGGAGATGCAGCTGTCATCACATTGTCAGCACTTGTTTGCAGCCTTGAAATCACTTCACAAGCTTGGGGTGTTAATATACACTCATCCTACGTTGCTACGTAAGTCACTAGTCAACCACCCTGCTGCCCAGTCAGCTCCTGGTCAATGGTCAACATGTCTTTTGTGCTTTCTCATTAGTTCACCGCAGCGGCCACTACCGCAGCTTCCGTCCTTCATCAGTGCCTCCTCTGGTAGCTTCAGCAGCTGCTCGAGTTGGGGCTTGATCTGGATCACCTGAGGCTCTGACGATTCCACCCACGCTCGGAAGACTCCGCAGTGGCCTGGCGGCATCCTCGAAGCACCCAAACCAACCATCCATAGGACTCATGTTCTGCGCAAAGTCAGACGTTTGGCTATACTGTTTCCTACTGGCAATCCTGTTGGACTACCATTTCAGATCGGTCTCTATAGGCTTCCCCAACTGAATCATGCCAGACCGAACTCCAGGGAGACCGTGTCAGCCGCGCAACCGGCGCTCCTTCCACCAAGCTGCCACAATGCCGAACCTCGGATGCTTCGTCCCGAGCCGCCGCCGGAGGCGCAATCTGAAGGGTCGTAACAAGAAGCTAGTAGAAACAAGTGCCACGCTACTAGGAACAAGTGCCTTACTAGTAGTAACAAGAAGCTATTAGAAGTAAATTAAGATTAAATTAAATTAACTAATAGCTTCTTGTTACTAGTAGTAAGGCACCTGTTACTACTAGCGATGCACTTGTTACTAGTAGGAACAAGTGGTCCCAATAAACCCTTCCGCCTAAACATGCCCAAGTCCAACTTCACCCGTGGCTCCGCTCCAGCCGATGCTCAGCTCCAGGAGCTGCCTGTCGGACACAACTGTGTCATCCACCCGACACGCCATGTATATATATGTTGGGTCTATCCTAATACCTGTAACAGTGGATGATGATGCTTAGTAAAGGCCTGGTTCAAACATCGTAATGTTCTTGTTGACTGACTGTTACAGGTAAGATCAGACAGACCCTATGTATATGGAACATACATTGACCCAACCACCCCTGGCCTTTTCTCCGGCTATATGGACACCAAACAGGTCGTAGACCGGACCCATGTCACCCCAAAATGTCGCGCATACCAACCCTAGGGCTCCAAGTACCTTCTAAGAAGGTGGGACTGGGGTGGGTTTAGAGGGTCCAGTCATACCTAGGGCAACAAAGGCTATCCCAGTTTCAGTACAGTCCTTTGTCAGGTCACTTCACCTCTCTCTTGGTACTGTCTGTGCATCTCCCCGCCAGGCCGCAGGGTGCTCTCCAGCTGCATCGCCCGGAAGGCCTTGGCGAAGCTGCGCATCTCAGGGCTCAGTGACTCGATCGCGTCCTGCCGCGCGTGCGGTGGTGCGGGCTGCGGGGCCACGGTTGGAGGTTGAAACCGGGCGATTGGGATGGGGGACATGCCAGGAGACATCCGGAACATGTGGTTTTTGGGGGGCTGAATCAGGAGCAGGGCTTCTAGGAGATCACTAGGAGCACTTATAGGAGCACATGCCGTTTTGAAGGGGGGGCGTCTTTGCAAGCACTGGTCACTGGTCTCCTATTTCTATGATACTCTACAACCTATATATCTAAATCTTGTTCCCACCCAACTCGTCCTCCTTGGCCTTTTCCGAGAAACAAACGTCCACGCAGGTCACGAACTCCCGCCTTGAACTCTTTGGGTGTGGGGATGGTGGACATCTCCAGAGGAATCTTCAACTCATCCTGGTACAAAGCTGGCTGGGAGTTGGTGCGTGTTTTTGAAGCGCCACACTGCCCAATCAGGCTTGCCGGGAAAAACACCATCTGGCACCCTACATGGGAGACTAGAGCATACTAGAGCAACGTGGAACATGCCTAGTACATCCTATTACTGCACTTATGAAAATTAGACTCGTGAAGTAACTGCAAGCGACAATCCACTGCTCTTGCGTTAAAACCACGCCAGTGGAACCCACTAAATCCACTGCTCTTCCCACAATGGTCACTGAATCCGGACTGCCCATGTCTCCTTGTTCTGCAGCAGCATGGCGTATTTGGGATCGAAGGAGGTCGCCTAAGGAGGAACCCAAAGCATGGAACGATAACAAACCTTCACCAGCACTGACCCCTAGGGCTCCAGTCGTACCTGCTCAGGGTCGGTATGACTGGACCCTCTTGGCACCCACCCCAGTCCCACCTTAGAAACGAAGGTACGACTGGAGCCCTTCTGGCCATAGACAAGTCCAATTCTCAGATTCCAAGTCTTCCCAAAAGCTCTTCAGCTCCTCGTCCGGGCGTCGTTTCGTCGTTTTCGTTCCGTCCGGGACACCGAGACGCCGCCGAAAACCCCATCCTAAAACACCACCCGAAGCATCTGGAAGCCGGGTTAGGACCCTTGCATCCCGAGGTCGGGTCCCAACCGTGTGGGATGTCTTCGGGCGAAAGGCTTCGCAGTTCAGTGACTGAAAGGACTCGCCCCACCAAAACAATGAAGCTGCTGAACTGCCGCGCGCGGGAGACCAAGGACAGCGAACCGCCGCTTTGCCCCGAGAACCTGCAGCGTCGATTTGGTTTTCAGCAGTTGAGCGACCTCCCCACCTGCACTGTTGAGATCTGCCTAGTAGAATCAACTGACGTGTTATGCACGTGGAGCATCCAACAAAATACCGCACAGGTTCAACACATCCTGGTGGGGATGGTCGAGGTAACCGGGACGTGGTGACCTCGACCAAACACGCTATGCCATACTGTTCCGCCTGTAGACTGTTGGTTTAAAACATTCAGAACAAATGCCTACGAAACGGTTTTACCATCCAACGATATCCAACGTTCAATTGATGTTCTCTTACATTTGTATTTCATTGGTCTGCCAATCCAGAATTCTACATTCATGAGAGCCGCGTCGTTCACCGCCTCGACTGCACATGCCTTGACTGAAGGGTGTCGAGAAGCCGATGCAGCAAACACGCGTGCAACCGGATGCTGGAGCTGAAGGAGACCGTGGTGGAGGCGTTCAAGGCAAAGGTCATGCGCTGAGCACGTCCAAGGGCCACCATACTGTTGATCTCAGTGTGCATACGAATTTCGAACGATTTCAGTGGTTTCATTTAGGGCTTGTGCTTGGTTTGGAGAACGTCCGCAAGCATCCTCATCTCAAGACTCCTAGCAACACAAAGACCAATTCACCTCGGGCTCACTTTAAGCTAAGATAGCCAAAGGAAACGACTCCCTCCAAAACATGACTTGGTGTATAGTGATCCCCAAATGGATAGCGGCACGGTTTCCAGTCCAAACACATTTTTGGTACAGGATTATCTATTTGGGGGTCTATATATAGATCTTCCAACTATGCTCAACTTCTGCCTTAAACTTTGGGTTGGTGTTTATACATGAAAAGGCGTACATGTTGCATAGCTGGAAGATCTATAGTTCCAAGCAAAGAATGTTCAGCCTTGGCTATGATGATCGTTGCTCGTGACATCTCGTTACTGCAGCTTCCTTATTCTTCGGCCTGGGCGATGTAAAAAGAACTGCAGAATGTATAAATGAATCAAACCATTTGGATTGTAATACCTCTTTGTATGGGGGGTCTCATTCTTTGAACGGCCCGCATGGGGGTCTGCCGGTGAGGCACCGGTGCAAAGACGGACATGGCCTCCTCCTCGATGCTCACCATGCCCTCCGGCGCGTGGCGACCGGAGCGGCGCACGGCGAAGCTGAAGGGCTGTGGTTGATAGGCGTCGAGGAAGAGCTTCCTGAGAGCGAGGGTGCGACGGAAGCTGCGCACTCCCAAGGTCGACCAATGACAACATTCTATACATGAAGGCCTGCTTAAGCACACCACTGTGGGTATATTGAGCAATTGAACATCTTAGGTATATAGGGAGGATAACTCGGAGGATAGAGGAGGGATGATAGCAAAGATGATTTCACAAACAAAAATCGAGTGGATAAAAAAAAAACAATACTAGATCAGGGGTTTAGTTTGTGTCCCCCATGTCCATGTCCCAATGCATGACAGGTATTATATTGGTCAATCATGATCCTGAGAACCCCTCGTAGTGTGGTATCATCCCATCAAAAAGGCCAAACAGAAGCAAAACAAGCCTCAAAGTGAAAAAAATGTTCGAAACGAAAAATGTTTAAGCTCCGGTTCATTCCCGCTCGGCTCATTCCAGTCCAAGCTTGGCTCAATCCGGAAACGACAGAACTGGTCAATCCAGATCCGCCCTCTCCCCGTTTGATGGCGGACCGCGTGCGTGTCCGGACGAGACAGTGATCGGAGGCTGTTTTGAGACTCATCATCGCATGCATGTCACCGCACGGGCACTTTCACCCTGCCTTTTCAGCAGCTGTGGCTCAACGAGAAGGCGGCATTGACTTAGTCAGTGTAGCATCGTCCCTCTCAAGTCGACCAACGTTCCGTCAAGTCGATCAACTTTCATCATTTTTCCATCATCTTTCATCAACTTACACCATTCCGCAGTGGATGATTATGATCGAATTCAGAAAGCAACATACAAAAGAACTCACTGGCACAGTGCGTTCGGTGCTGGGCACCTCCGTGGGCCACGCTTGGATGCATTTGGATGCTCACAGACTTTCTGTCCAGGCACCTCGAATTCGGGCCAACACCTCCTCCGGTCCGCGTGCAAAAGAAAGGGCCTTCCACCGTCGACCGCGTTCGCATCGCACGCGGTCCCAGTCCCGGACGCCCGGGAAGCGATGGGAAGCGAGAAAGGAGCCACAGGCGCTCTGCATGCCGAGGCACCCGATCCGATCATGTCGTCCTTTGCGGAGCCACATCGGTTCACATCAGTCTGAATCATCGGTCCACTCCTCTCGGGCTGACCGCCAGTAGAACTGCTGCAAGCCAAAGCAGCTCGCAGATCATAGAATTCGATGATTATGTCACCACCGCAGCGGTAAAGCCCTGCTATCTCACCAAACCTCTGAAAGCTTCTCTGGTGCTTTGTGAGGGCTTCAAACTGAGAGCTTGAGAACCTCACCGCACGGAAGTCATTGAACCCTCCCCCGGCAGGCCAACCAAAGGGTTTGATGTCCTGCAGAACCTGCTGGGCCACTCGCACATCATAGAAGGTCACCAAAGCCAGGCCCGTTGTTGGTCCATAGGATATGTGCAACCGGGACACATCATAACCCTTGAAGAGCTCGGCCACTTCAACAAAGGTCTTTGGGCACTTATCCGGGTGAAACTGAAGCGCCAGCGAGTTTGAAGCCAGGAGCTGTGTAGTATGGGCGGCCATCACGTCCAAGCTCACCAGGCCGCCCCGAAAACCACATGCAGCTGACAAAGCCAAACGCACCGGAACAAGCGGTATATGCAGCCGACACACCGGTATGCTTGGAGATCTTGAGCTGGACCAGCTTGTCCAAACACCCCATCATGAGACTGCCATACATGCCTCTAGGTCATACCCTAAGGGTCCATCCTTTCTATGTTTTGGCCCCAGCAGAGACCATGCTCTTGCAAGTCCTTTCACTTCCAAGACCATGCGAAAAAGGAACTGCCTGGACTCCGGCAATCTCTCCCGCCCGTGTCGGGAGTCCCAAAAACGACCTGGGCGAAAGGCCGAGGCTCCGGTAGTGGAAGCGCATGTAGGCTCCGAAGTCCTCTGGAGTCACTTCCTGGAAGAGACCCATGCTTTTCGGGATGACTTGGGCGGACGTGGGTGGTGGAGTTGCTGGAAGTTCGGCTGAAGGTGAATCGTTTTTTTTGAGAACCTTGCAAGGATAGGATCTGGTTGCTGGTTTAGACTTGAACTGGTCGTTCGTTATCTGATATCATCTGGTGCTGGTTTTATCTTCAAAGACTTCCTCAAAGTACTCCCAGCTCCGCTCCGCTCCGCTGAAGAAACCACCCTTCCAAAACTCGATCCTTACCGATGGCAGCGATGAGTTGGTCGCGCAGCAGTTGTTCCACGTAGGCCATGGACTCGTTCCAGTGCAGAAGGACATCCTTGTGCCACCCCACAGCACGACCCAGCAATCACCATCTACGGTGAAACAATCACAGCGTCCTCGCCGCTGTCCTCCACCAACTGATCCAGAGGTAGGGGTAGGGGGGCCAAACAAATACATCACACACCGATAAATCCCCCCCGCACACCACACACGTACCGTGCGGCACGTGTGTGCACTGCCTCACACGCACACAGTCGCAGCCCAGCAGCGTTGCAATGTGCAAGGCACACAGCTAAATATGCTTCAGCCGCGGTGAAAACACCACGATCTGGAATGGTCTCAATGATGTTCTGTCCTTGGCTCAGTCACTTCGAGAGTCCCATGGTGGAGAGTTGAGAGGTTGTGGTTGTGGTTGTTGTGGTTTTTGTGGTTGTGGTTCTGGTTGTGGTCGTTGTTGTGGTTGTGGTTCTGGTTCAAGTTGTTGTTGTTGTTGGTAGAAACAAAAACGGCCGCCCAACATCATTGTCACATGTTGTAACTTTGGAGCTTCAAGGGGACAAGGTTAGCGATACGGTTGAAGGTTTGAGTGAATGTTGGTTTCGTAAGTAATTAGGTGGACTTGTTGGACTTGTTTCACTGAAGTCTGGGCCAGTCCAGTTTTAGTGTTTTTGAGGTGTTGTTCTGGAGGGGGGGGGTCCAAAAAACAACAAGGGGGCCGCAGTTTTTGTTTCTAGGATGTGGTAGAGGTTCTAAGTAGAAGTTTTACAGACGTTTAGCACCAGTTACTACTACTACTACTACTGCTACTGCTACTGCTACTGCTCCTACTCCTACTCCTACTCCTACTGCCACTGCGACTGCGACTGCGACTGCTACTCCTACTACTACTACTACTACAACGACTACTACTAGTACCAGTACCACTAGTACTAGCACTAGTACAAGCACTACCACTACTGGTAAAAGTACTTGTTGGCTGGTTGTTTTCGGGGGGGGGTCAAAAAAGACAACGACGGGGCTGTAGATTTTGTTTCCACCCCCTTGTAGAGACAAAGGACCAAGATATGTTGTAACGGGGCTGCAGTTTTGGTTTGTACCTTGTTGTTGTTGTTGCTGTGGTGGTGGTGGTGGCGGTGGTTGTGGTGGTGGTGGTGGTGGTTACGGTCCACACCCAGTCCGCTCATCCCCTTAACTGCAGGGGTGGGGTAGTGGTTCACCTGTAGGAGTTTCAGGCTTTCAGTCACCAGGATGGATGCTCTATCTACCGGCTGCGTGGTGCAACTGGTGACAGCTTTGCTGCGGATGGCTGGGTCTAGCGGCTAGCGACACGGAGCCTGACGGAGCCTGGGGTGTTGGGTTAGTGGCCAAGCCGAGAACACCAGTGCCCAAACAGACCGGGGGCCCCCGCGGAGACACCTTTACTTGAACTCTCTGTGCCATGGAACGGTGAGAAATCCCATGAACAAGTAGGCATCTGTATCAAAGACATCTTCGCCTCCGTGTTCTCAACGTTTCTGTCCATTTCCAATTGAATAAAGAGTTCTGAACATCAAACTTCGGAAGGATCTCGAAGGAAGGAGGAGATCTGTTCAACGTTGCATCACTCCACTCAACACTTTGCATCACTCCACTTTGCGCTCAGGAGCGCTTCTCAGCCAGCCTCCGGGCTTCTTCAGAGAGGAGAAGGTTGCACTCCTGAAGTCTCTAGACACATCGAACGTCCCGAACCCGCGGGGTGCCAGTCACCCTATAGATACTCCATGGACATGGAATCCTTTCATGCTACCCCATTTTGTATGAGCCTAATATAGGCAACGATTCCAGTCCCATGGATGGTCTGCGGACTGAAGGTGTGTTCGCCGAACGGTGGACCGCCGCCGGGTTCCGCGTTCGGCGCGGATGGGCATCGTGGAGAAGTGGTCGAATCCAACGCGGCGAATGTTTGATCGGTGACATACACTCCCGAAAACTAACATAGACCCTGACAATGGCCCCCCTGGAAGAGTGTTTTCCTCTACTGTACCAACCAGTGGTTTTCAGGGTCCATGGCATCGTCTTCCAGGGTGTATTCTTGGTTGGATTCGACCACTGATTCACTGATCAAACACACCTAATATTTAAGTACCGCGGCGAAGGTTCTCAAAAACAAGAAGTAAAACTCAACGGTACTTCATACATCATCGAATTTCTAGTTCAGAAATCCTGGGGTCCAATGGTGGGACGATCTTCATTGATCCTTTCTCATAAGTAGAAGCCCAAAAAAATGCTCAAGTGCCCCAACCACCCCCTTAATTGAAATTGTCATGTATTCCATATTTGCAACCTTGAACCTCCAATGCAAAGAGATTTCTCGTCGTTTGTTGAAATCAATCGTTTGACAGAAAAATCATGTCATTCTTGTCGATTCGATAAAAAACCTAGCTTTCGTAAAAACATTACCGGCACAGTCAAACAGAGAGAAAACAACTGGAACGACAAGGAAATGGGATTTGCGGGCGTTTGCAGGTATTTGCTAGCGTTTGCCGGATATTTGCGGGCGTTTTGCGGGTAATTCTTGTCGAGCGTCCCATCTTAACCTTTGGCAGTCAGGACACCAAAACTGAACTAAATTACGAGAATCCAGGAAACTATGTCGTTCTTAGCGATTGTAGCGTTTACAGTTTTTGCTGGCAACATGTAGTCAAACACAAAAACAAGAAACTTCTTGTCATTGGAGGGTCCAGGGGGTGTATTTTAATAGGGAGACCCCCAGCATTCCCCAACCAATGGGTTTCGGTGTGTTTTGGTCTACTTTCTTTCCTCGGAGTCTTTGGGAGGTCTCCCTATTTCATACACACCCACATGAAGGCGTGGTTTCCAACGGGGTCCATTCTTTTCGATTTTGTGCTTCGTGTCGTGTCTGGGTCATTGAGGCCTTTTGGGGGGTCCCATGGCATCGTCTCGTGCCAACTGCCGCCCAGCGTCAGAAGCCGCCAACGTGGGGCTTTCGCCTTTCGTCTCGGCGTCCTCGCCCAGCACCACCAGCTCTCCAGTGGCAGCACTGCCATGGTCTGCCTGATTCGAGCCGGGTGGGGTGGCGAAGGACAACTGGTGGGTCAAATAGCATCTGCACAATCTCGAAAGCACGGGATTAGTAGACATGACAATAGCCTCTATAGAAACCATAAAACACCAAGATGGGTGTCATATTCTGCATGGAGACATAACTAACGCCGAATATTGCCTTAATCAGGACGGTCATTATTTATGAGTGCTGCGGGTGAAGAGCGTGTCTCCACTTGCTCGATCGTTCTCAGACGAGGAACTGCAGCACCCTTCGCAAACAGCGGCAACGAGGGGACGAGCAAGGCCCCTCCGTAGGTGCTGGGCGGCGGCTTGCCCTGGGCCACCTTGCCTCCAGAAGCCACGGTGATACCCCAACACCCTGTGTTCATCTTGCTTAATGCAACTTTGAAACAAATGTACAGTATGTACATTTTGTAGTTATACCAATTGGATCCGAATTGGACAGCATCGAGGGTTCTCCCTCCACCACATCTCCTTTAAGAAACACCATGAAATCATTGAAACCCCCAATCTGGACAACTCCAGGACAACACCTATGTGGTTCAAGACTGTGACTTGTGAGCTGGAAACCTACAATGATTATGTTTTGCGTCTTTGCGTTTGCCCAGAGGTTTGGCTTCTGCAACGCAAAAACATGTCAGCGCATCAGCCCATCCATCAGGAAGAACTTTCTGACGGATTGCAACCAAAAGCTCCCCAGCGTTGTGCCTTGCAGCTCGACCAGGTAATGGCCCACACGAGCAGCCTCGGGGCGATGTGATTTCCGCTGTCGACCGGTGCGCCGCTTGTGCCTCCCTTCCAAACTGGCACAAATCTGGCAGACAATCTCATGAACCCTAAGAAAGGAGCATTTTCCTCTACAACCCGTAGTGGTTTTGGGGGTTCCATGTGAATCTGCAGGAGGGTAGCGTCTGTAAAAGTGGGCTGCCTGGCTTAGCTGGGGCTGCAAACTAAAGAAAAGGGTCCCATGCAAAAGAGGGTTCCGTGGCACCTGCCACAAACCACGCACCAAATCCTCACCATTGCGCAGCTAAGCGCTGTTTCCTGGTTTCTTCACCCAGGCGCCCACTGTGCCAGCTGCGTGAAATATGCGACCAGCTCCTGGACAGTCCATAATTCTATAGGATATCTTGCATCAAAGATCTTGGCACAAGACGGAGTCAATCAATTCATCACCTACCAGGCTATGATCATGTAGCCGGAGGAATTCCAACACCTTCTGACTGCGTTTTCTGAACTTCTGCAGGTAGCACAGCGGCAACTGAGCTTTATCGCAAAAGAAACAAACACCTCTCATGCGGCGCAAGCAGCTTGCAGTAATATCAACCTACAGTCAGTCTCAATTTCCTAGCACGAGTTCAATCACAGTGAAGCAAAGCTATGCACAAAATCTGTATTATATAGTATAGTACTATATAATACCATGTTCCGCAGGGCAACTCCTTTGCCCCTCCTCCACCTCTGCGTTTCGACGAGGAGACTTGCAGCTTTGCGTGCCCCGGTCAATGCGGAAGGTCGGTGAGCGCATGGAAGAAGACTCGCCGTTGAGGTGCCGGAGAAGGCAGGTGATGTTAACCTCCCGGGTTTGAAAGAAGTTGTTTTTTTCGGTGAAGAAAAGGAGGCGTTTTGGTCGCGGTACTACAGCAAGAGAATCATGGTCCTCACTTTGGACTCTCAAATGGTGCATCCAGTATCGGGCAGGCTGCGAAAGAAACGTGGATGAGAAAACTTGCATGTGAGCTTCTACAAGGAGCCACGGCATAGCCGCATATCGAACACATGAGTTTCTATGAACACATCAGCGCCTGACAAAATCCCAAATAGAAACAACCAGGATCCAGAAATCATGGGTTCAAACACTTGGATCTTTCGACGCTGCCTATATGATTTCATATGATTTCGCAGGCCCTGTCGATGGATTCATGGGTCTCTTTCGTCACCTGAGAGGAGGAAAAAAAAAAAACAATTGACGCTGCCTCCTGCCGGCAGGCGACGTTGGACTCCGGGTGAGGCAACACCTTGCTGCCTCATGGCGAAGCGGGCAGTCAATGGCGAAGCGGGCAGTCTAGTGGGCGCAAAGGCAAAGAAACAGGGGACCCTCGGCTTGCCGGACAACAACAAACAAACGGTTTCTGTTCTTCACGCACTGCCACCGATCTCAAGTGGAGAGTTGAAAATGATAGGTGTTTCATCCCAGGTATTGATGCTAAACATTCTACCCTCAAACCATGTCACATTTGTATGTGTCGGGTTGTGTGGCATCTATCCCAAGTTGGCGATCCAAGTGCTTGAATTTCTCCACTCAACTCATCCTGCTAAGCGGCTCGTCTTCAACTCCTCCTCGGCCGGTCGCGCCAGAAGCTGCAGCCGATCGGAGGACTCCGCGCCCACGCCGCGGTAGACCTCCAGCTCGTAGCCTGGGGGAAGGCAGGGAGGTGTTAGGGAGGGCCGGGCCTCCGATTCACTGTGGTAGGGCGAACTTCTGGTTTGTGTCATTGAACAAGGAGGGAAAACAGTTGATCATCCAAAGATCATGCCAACTCCAAAGACGTGAAATCAACGAGTTTGTTTGGACTTCCCAAATCTGCGGACAGGTGAATGGAAAGCGTTCTAGGCATATATGGGACTGGGTCTGGACAAGGACATATGGTCGTTTGATGTTGTTTGTATGATGTTAACGTTTTGGTCTTCAACTGTCTTGCCGGACTGTTGGAAGACCTATTTTTTGCAGCAAACTGCGCCACTAGGTCTTCACACTCCAAAGGAGATATATCTTAATCAACGAAGCAACACTCACTTCATAAGTATACTTAAGTCGGCTGCCAAGCCACTCACTTCAAGCTTCCAGAAGAACTCTGTCCTGGATCTCGCTGCAGGTCGACCAGTGTCTCTGGACAGATGTCAATTTAAAGCAAGTCATTAGGCTCAAAGCCTGAGATTTTGCTAGCTGCTAGTAATAATGGATGTTGAATGATGTTGGAGAGGAAGAATCAGGAGAGATCAAAACCCTGCGCAGGAGATTCTCCCAAGAAGAAAGCTTTCAGAGTACATTGAAGTACAGTAAGTAGACATTCTCAAGAAGCATCAACGTCCGCCCCCATCACTCTGACTAAGCTCGGGGCACTTTGGTGACCGTCTTGCTGGTGATGCCCATCGAGAGACCACCTGGGTCGGACCACGAGAAGGACCTTGAGACATGGGAAAGGGATTGATTTGATGCCTGGCATCGGGAGTTCCGTGGCTTTTCCCAGGGATACACTCTGACGAACACATCACATGGTTACGTGGAAAATGGCCTCTTGGAAGACTACTTTCCTTTACTAACAGTGGGTTTTCCACTTGTATGTTAGTGAGTTGGAGTGTAGGTAAATCGTGGTAAATCTTACAGATGAAGTTGGGCATCATACCAGGCAACAAGCTTTCAGAGTCTATGGTTGTTTGTGTTATTGGTCACTTCATAAAGTGAGAGTTTGATCGATAGATCCACTAATGGTCCCAATTTTGCACTGCTTATGCCGGAATGTTGTTCTATCACACGCTTGCCAACCAATCCCAAACAATGAACACTAGCAGAACAACGGTTTGCACGAGCTTGAAGCCTGTGAAATACCAATAGAACAGCTTTGCCGTGCCCTTCAGCTAGATTCAGCACATCTGCCCAAACAAGTTGCAACATTCCAAGTCAAAGAAGTCTACTTCCAATAGATCTTTGGGCTTTGTGGCCCATGCGCGATTATTCTGTCTGTTGAGTTCATGTCTTTCTCTCCCAAATGCGCCGACCTCCCGACCTCGGTCGAAAACTGAGAAAGTTGACGAAGCACCCGACGACGCCCGACGAAGCACCGAGATGTCTCTGATGGTTTCAGATCAAGATCCAAGACCAACCTCTTCCAACACCTGACTTTGGTACCCCAATGGAGTTGCCATACCCGGTCCACACCCCATTTGCCAAGTGTTTGCGAGTCATGCGTCCGTCGCGTCCCCCTCCTCCTCGCGATTTAGAAGGGTGGAACAACTGAAAGATCCAAATCCCCTGGGCCTGTGTGGGAAGACGGCCAACTGTTGCCAATATACTTGCAACTTCCAGTGGTTCCAGTGATCTCCACCCCTCCTAACACTAGAGACCCTCACAACTACCCTCACATACACCCGGGAAGGAAGATTTAGCTATTTAGCTGGAACCCGATGGCATAGGCCTTTGGAAAACGATGTTCCTCTACAACGTCAAGAGATTTTGAGGTTCCATCTGGGTCTCGGAACAAGGGCATCCCCTGCACCTGGCTACGCCCGCCCAGCGGCCCATGGAGACCTCATTCACCACCTGGAAGGGGCGGTGTACGGACGGAGGTACCGGACGGTGGAGGTTGCTCTTCGTTCCCGAGAGCTCCATGTCGTGGACCTGTAGAGTGGTGGATGACTGCCAGGTGTGCACCGACCGGACTCTGTGGCGTGAACGCTTCACCAGACCGGACTCCATCGCGTCGCACTCTGCTCAGCAACACCAAGATTTAAGAACACGCATTGGTGTGCATGTTTCAAAGGGAGACCCCCAACAAATGGGCAGACTGGTCTATTTTCGGAACCTTCCAGGGGGGTCGTTGCCTAGGGGTCTCCTTACAATGAAGACACGCACCCACTTCTTGAATGGCAATCCCGGCTGAAAATGATCGAAAGTGGTGCTCCAAATGCTTATCCAAATGGATCCGTTGGAGTTTCAATGCCCACTGCTGCCCCGCGGTACCTTGTTCCAGGAAAATGCCACACGAGCCAGCCTGCATCTAGTGGTTGTAACTTATCATCCCTTGAAGTACAAACGCAGTGATGTCAAGAAAGTCATCGACCAATCACTTTCAATTTCAACGTTCGTGAGATACGGCGAAACAGAACCGACCACATCACCTACATCACCTGCGCTTGCGCCAAAGCTCAGGTACCCCACACTACCGCGCACGCGGAAAACCATGCCCAAATGCCAGGCACCTTTCGCGGGTCCTCCTCTTGCCGCGTCTCCTCACGTAGGAAGCTGCACTTCTCCTGCGCGCGTCGCTGCCACGCTGTCTTTACGGAAACGTTTCAGAGGCTCGATGGAAAAAAACCCAAGATGTCCTAGACAGATGGGGTTCCACATAAACATACATAAACCACCGAACTTGGGGACTGTGCCATCTACTCACTCTGAAACCACTGTAAACCACTTGTGGCATCAGCTCCGCTTCACCAGGATCTTCCGCTGCAAAACACCCCGCGGATCCTCTGGGGTGTCGGGATCGGTGGTTGCTCAGGGCCTTCAATTGACCTCATTCCGGCATCACATACCGCCCAGATGTGAACCTATAGAGAAGCAACACACAGAAAAAATTGTAGGCTCCTGGATGAAACATCGTTGTTCTTTTCCAAGGGAAGAGATGGAAAACAGTGTCTTTTCTCGAAAAACATGGTCTATTGGTTAAACCAATGAAGAACAGGCCCTGGCCACCACAAAGAAACACCTATCTCCCGGGTCTTCCTTTCAGGTGCGTGCCGTTGGATCTGAATCGATCCACCAGTCACTAAATATCGACCATTCTTCCGATTCTTCCATTTGTTTTGGTCATGAGTCATTTACATAGACCTTTGGGGAATTTGGGTGACTTGACAGAACACATAAGACACCAAATGTTATCCCGCAGTGAGTCCGTATTTACTAACCCATACGGGCCCATACGGGACCTATACGCTGTCGATGTTACCCAAAAGGCATCGTGTTTTGACTGAGAGCCCATATGTGTTTTTTTTTGCATCCCTGCCATGCATATTCAATTTGTGAGTTCTTAGGCTCACAGCTGCATGTTGAAGGCTCACTGTCCATTCGGCTGAAACCTGTTTTTTCGCGAGGTCGACATTTGGTGACTCGTGTCCAAAACTCAGGTGCGTGCCGTCAGATCCAAAACAATCCCAAACACACAATGTTTGAAAGAATGGTCCTTTCCAAAAAACAATGTGTGTTTCCCTATAGGCCCTATACTATTTATATGACTATTTGTAATGACCTACCTGAAAAATATGGTAAATTAGATTATAACTATGGTTTTTCATCTCCCTCCCCATCCGTGAAAAATACTTCTCGCCAGCCATGATGTCCTCACCTCAGACTGGGGGGACTCACCTCAGACTCGACGCCTGGGCGGTGTTGGCTCCTGCGACTTGAAGCGCAAGGACACCTGCGCTCCCTCGTGCGCCCGGCGACAGGCTTGGGCCAAAGCGTCGTCCCCTGGGCGTGTTTCAGCTGTTTGAAGCGCCCGCGAAACCCGTCAGCGGAGCGAAACGGAGTCCGTCAGGACTTCAGGGCCAAAGACTTCAAAGACTTCATTGAATTTCGGACTTCAAGGGCCCATGATTTCAGATTTCAGGGGCCAATGTAGGCATATGTATACATGTTTCAGACATGGAGTTGTTTGGGAAGGACATGCGAAAGAACCCTTGGACATGGTGTGGAAATTTTGGACTCAGCAACAGGGCGGCCAGTTGCTCACTTTCCCCATAATCTGGTTCTCATCCAGGTCAAAGCCTAAATCCGAGCCATCCTATCTGGTTGGCTTGAGACCAAGACCAATGGGCGCAAGAGATTCTCCCATCCAGTCCCAGGTCTCAGGCTATTTAAGTAGTTCATGTGGTAGACATCAAACATCTCGCCCTAACCCGTTGTCAAACATCTCTTTAAGGACTTGTCACGATTATACATATAATATGTATCGAGACTTGTATCGAGTATGGGTATATTACCCAACCACTCCATGTATACCATATATGCCTACATTGGCGTGGTTTTGGGGGTCAATGTATAGGCATATATTGCATGATATTGCATGGAGTGTCTGGGTTATATAAATCGAGATGTTACATCACATACATGTATCCTCGGCGGCTTTTAGAAGTAAATTCCGGTAACTTGATGCGCCTTGGCCGAACGGTCCGACCAGCAACCAGCCCAGTAGTGCTTCCAGGCGCTGAGTCCCAAGGTGCTCAAGCAATTCACCTGTGAGGCCAGGGTCAGCTGCGACACTTTCTCCACCAAGTGAAACTTGTCCTGGTCACTTTCTCTGCACGGAGAGTGGAGAGCTTTTGGTTCCAAATATTTCCCGCAAATGGCGCGAGCCTTCGGGGGAGGTTGGCTGTCAAGTTAGGAAAGCAAGTTTCTGTTGTTTCTATTTCTTCAACATCCTCCAACTAGGGGATTGCCATTCTGCATGTTTTTCCACCTGGTTTGTTTCTGCGGCCCTCATTCCATGTGCTCATCATCTCATTTCTGTGTCGCAGCCATGTCCTGGTACTCGTGATGAACGGCAGATGGGACTTGGGCAGTCCTCCTGGGCGACAAGTCATGGCGCAAAAAAAGGGGCCTCCGCTTCAGGATTTTAACCTCCATCTGCCAGCACCACCCATTTCGGGTGGTTATTAGATGGAAAAATGCATCTGGCCTGGGGGTCTAGTCCAACCACCCGACCTGGGTGGTGCTGGTACGCTTTTCTAGTAGACCTTCACTGTTCCAAGAGGAGGCTTCAAATGAAATCAACATATCAGTCTCTACGTATATGTAGGTCATTCCCTCATTGCTATAGAAGATCAGGTTGGGTATCTCGGTCTCTCCCAATATGAGTGAGTCACCTTTTTATCACCGTGGGTAATGATCTTTTGCCGACTCTTATCGGTACATGGAACACACAACCCTATACTCTCACCAAGCGTTTTTTCCTCAAACGACACGGAAAGCCCATGGCTCCGAGCCAGGAAGCATATCTGCAGGTCCCCAGGTGGTCTTCTGAATTTTCCACATCAGCATGGGACTGCCATAATATTTGCCGGGTATGCCGGGGTGTTTTTTTGGGGGGTCAAAATGTATGCATCATATTCCAGTCCGGGGTGTCTGGGATTGCTTTGTTCATGTTTGTCCCAAACGGACGTGTTTCTTTTTCTTCCTCTTCGCCTCTATGTTAGGCCATGATCATACATGAACATTTCTACAAACACAGGAGGAAACACAAAACAAGAAACAACTTGTTCGGAGCGGAGGGTCGTTCCACCTGAGCGGAGGGGCGATGGGTCGTTAGACCTCTGCTGCCTTTCTTTGTCTAAGGAAAATCGTGGTCAATTCATGCGCTCTATGCTTATGCCATGTATACAAAGAAGGCCGCAAGGACAAGCTTTCTGCACCACACCATCTAGGTTCTGCTAGAGATTTAGATCGATGATCCAGCCATGCTCAGTTTTTACTCTGAATAGGCCACCCCACACTCTCAAGGTCGTAAGATCCAAGGCACTGGGAGTCCAAGATCAACTTCACTTCTTGAACCGCCTTCCTGAGTTCAGTTCGTGCAATGCACCACAGGGGGGGGGGGACGGTGGAGTCTGGAGTTCTGCAAATGCCCCGAAAAGTGTGTGGGCTCGCTCCTAGCTGACTTACCATAGGGCCATGCTGCATGCTAGGGGGTTTTTGCCTCCAAAATGCCGTAGTACAGGCCGCCCAGCCACAACAACAACAACAACAACAACAACAGATATAACGGATTCTCCGTTGCAGCCACGTCGAGGTGCTTCAGCTTCGCCTCAAACTGCTGTGTCTGCAAGCACACCGCCATGGCTGCACGGTGCGTGAACTTTGAAACGAGGACGAAGGATGTGGCAAGGCCCAGCAAATTGGCCCAGCTACTTCAATTTGAAGGACGACATTCACTATCCTGGAGGGCTGGCCCGATCCAACTCGCACTGAAAGGCACTAACAAAAACATCGATTCGATGTGCGTAGCTTGGGCTTTTCAGAGGTGAAGCACCGACTTTTCGGGGGGTCGAGCCTTCGGGTCCTGCGTCCTGCGTCCGGCGGGCGGAGTGCCTTCGTGGTTCCGAGTACGTCGGCGGAGGCGCGCCGTTTTCCTGGAACATGCAGCTTCACCGTTTTCCATCTGTTCCACAGGGAAACATGGGGAAACCCATTCTCTCCCACAAAAAGGGTGAAATGACTGGATAGCTTGGGGGTTTTGTCTGGTTTTGAGTGTTCCTTGCCTCGTGGTCCACCCTGAGTGCGCATCACTCAAGAGCTCACAGTTGCACGTGTCCAAGCCACTTCGTGTGGATGGTGGAACAAGACATGACGGACCCGTCTTCACCGAAGCAAGTGGAGAGTGTGGCAGTAGATTCACTAGCCCAGACACGACCCATGGGACTGCCATATATATGCCCCCCCAACGTAGGCCCTTCCAACCACCCCTGGCCGTTTCTCGGCAGTCCGGACTGGCAGTCCCGGTCGTGTCCGGGTAGATCAACATGAGCAAATAGATCGATAGATTGGCTGTGGATCATGGCACGGGGAGACCGCTTTGGAACCACCGAGTGGATGAACCAGAATAGACTCGGTCAACCTACCAGGGTCTGCTCGCGGGTGCCATAGCGCTTTCGATACGTGGACCTCTGAGGCGGACCCGAAGCTCCGCGCGTCCGCACCCGCAGCCTTGTGCCCAAAAGGACAACAACTTGTGAATCTACAATTCTTTGAGAGCATCTATCTGTGAGCATGGAAACACGAAGGGCCAGGCAGACTCGCATGCTTTTTGCAACTCGAAAGCTGCGAGCCAGCAGATCCACCGGCACATGTGCATCGCGACGCATAGCGACGCATAGGGAGGCACGTGCCTTGGCTGCCTCTGCTAGGTCTAGGCCCTTGGCGGGATGAAACAAAGATAACAAAGTGCCTCAGGGCTTATGGCTGGAAGGGTTTGGGCCAACTGTTCCATAGAATTAGACAGAATCATTATCTGTTCTTTCTGCTACAGCGCAGCATGGCCATAAATGCCATATTTCATTGCAACATCTTGGTTCAACCCAAGGTCTTGCCCACCCACTGAAAAGGATGACTAAACAACAACACATGGAAGAACATCCACCTCCCCAAGTGGAACTCTACAAATCCTCGTTGTCAGAGTGCAACTCCAGTTGTTGGACACCCAACCCCCTGGCCCCGCGGCAGGCGGCACGGCCGCACGAGCTGGGCTGGCGCGCTCACAGGTCGCCGGCGAGTGCGCTGGAGTCCGACCACAGACCATCCGTCAAGTCCCAGTCCGACCACTTCCTCAGAGAGGTTTCACAGGGCACCAGATGAGCACGCTGTGAGCCGGGGCACTGTCACTAAGAGCCGGGGCATGCCGGGGCACTGTCTGAAGAGGTATTAGAGCACCAGATGAGCCACAGGGACAGCAGAGAAACTCTGGGCACGTCACTCATTGAGCGTCAAAGAGAAAGCCCGAGCGAAAGCAGTGAAAGCAAGTACATGGCAGTTTCTTTGTCTACTGCGACGCCCAACCACTGGAGGAGCATGCACTGGATGGTATTTTCGCATGACACCGGAGGAGCCTGTCATGGTGTCAACTTTTCAGTCCTCCACCTCGAATTGTCTGTCACCCTGCGGACCGTGCCCAGCTCGCCCGACGCATGTTCTCCAAAAATGTTCGCTTAAGCATGTTTCCACATGTGGGTGTGGCCAGAAACCCTGGTATGGATCGTGTGTGGGTTTGGGTGTGTGATCCAAGCCTTATGTTTCTGGCCGTAGCCATGTGTCTACAACAAGAACCCACCCAACGACCGGCACCGGCAGAGCGGCCGACAGAGCCTGCCCAACACGCACCCCCCCAACAACGTCTGAACCGAGGCTCACCACTTCTTCCACTGGAAAACCTGCGAGTTGAGGTCAACCGACCTCGTCTTTCCCTCTTCCAAAAGGGTGCTGGTGAGATTTGCTGAGCCCAGTCCCAAGAGGCTATCAAAATTGTTTGACTGGGATTGGTGCCAGGTGGACTAGGTGGACTAGGTGGTCGACCGATTCGGATTGAGGGAACACAGTAGGGAACACATCTTAGCCTGGCTGCCACGACTGCGTATCTTCTTCAACACCAAGCTGCAACCGTTGCGGAAAACCATGTCACATGCACACCTCCAAGCACCTTCTTCCAGTGAACTAAATCCAAACTCATCCATCATCCTCCATCCAAAAACAATAGGCTCTATCTATCTATCCATCTATCTCTCTACCTCCCTCTCTATCATATATCCCTAAATTTTACATATACACGCTCACATAGGCTCCATCATCTCCATCCACTCCCCCCCCTAAAAGCCTTCCCTGACGATCCGCCTCCCCCGGATCTCTCCGCCACGGTACCTGGGCCCTTGCGGATCACCTGTGGCACGGCTAAGCTCTGCCCGGCCGTGGCCCACACGATGATCGACAAGCGCAGCCCCGATCCGTCTTCCTGAGCCGAGGGACTGCAGACGGTCTGGACGGTCTGTTGAAGTGCCAAAAGCTCCAGTCGACTGGTCTGGTGGCGCCAAGAGATGAAAATACATCCGAGAGAGTCTTGTTGTGTCTTCCTTTATCATGTTGTTCATCTTTGGTCCGATGGTGTCCCTGCCTTTTGAGATCTAAACTATGGCATGTTCATGTCTATCCTTCAGAGGGTCACTCATCAACGAAAAAAATACCAACCTGAGAATGCCCTGAAAGATTGTTTTGCTTTGAGTGTGTCACAATCCCTGTAACAGTGGATGATCATGGTTAGTATAGGCCTTTCTAAAAAGATAGTGATACCTTTGAGATCAACGGTTACAGGTCATGGGACACACCCAACAAACCAGTGGTTCTCAGCGGGGTAACGACCATAACGTGACCTGACCAAACGTGACCCCAGGCACACTCCTTCCAGCTTCATGGAAAAGAGAAGAACGCATGGGGGGGGGAGATCCAATTGGGGTTTGGGTCTATAGTTTCCTTCTTCCAGGGGTTCTTGGGAGGTCTCCATTTTTGAATACACCCGCATGAATCACATTGAACATCCCATGTTTGTAGAGTTCAAAGAATTACAGTGAAGCCACAAGAAATGCCACCTGGATCTTCGGCTTGGACCTCCAACAAAGTCTCAAACTCGGCTCCAAGCATAAACAGAAACAAGATTAAGTCATTTTTCATGAAATGGTTCTCATCAGTGTCTTTTAGAGTCTTTTCATCCTTTACTGCCCTTCCATCACTGCCAATGTGGCCAAGAGTCTCTTGAGGAGGGGATGGCATGTGTGAACTGGTTGTTGAAGCAGGTGTCGAAGGCAAACACATCGCCTCAACATCCCACTCATGCAACTCAAAACACTTGTGTACATATTGTGTGGCTCGGCATCCGAATCGATTTGCTAGCTAGTCTAAGAGGCTTTATGTAGCATCTCTATTGAATTCTATCTTTTCTCATGTTCGTCTCCCCGGAAAGTTCAGTCAGATACGTCAAGTCGCCACGGCCAGTTGCGTCCAGCCACTTCCGAGTCACCGCAGTTTCTTCACCAGTGGATCCGCAGCGAGAAGGAGGTTTAGGCGTCGGTCGACGGTTTGGTTGTCTTTGGAAACCATGGGGTGTGTAATGTTGTAAAAGTACAATATAATTTTGATGTTACGTGATAGATCAATAGTCGTCAATAGTAGATCAATATATAGTAGATCATCATTAGTGGGAGTCCAGCTACCGTCGATCGGTCGTCTGCACATCCAAGCTCTGCTGCGCTGCTCGCTGCAGATCGGGTCACCGTTCCTCTGCTCAACGCGGAACTCTTCACCACTCCACCTGCACATGTGTCCAGCGGCGGAGGCGTGGACGGGAGGATGCAGGTGTCCGACACACCGACCGGGAGTGGCTTCATTCCTCTGCGTTGGAGGGGCACCCCTAGGTATCTGACACAGCAACCTCACTACTTAAGGGATTCCTTAAAGAATAAGCATGGGATCAACATATACCAATCAATACAATACTATAATACACTATACCTGTACTACACATTGAGCAGCTAGTTCCCGCTGACAAATAGAACATCCTCAAGCCAAAGGCCTCATTGGACCAGGTCTTGAGTCTTGATATTTCTCATGAATTCTCACTTTCTTCCCCATCCCTACGGTACTACACCCCCATCCCTATCAACCCTGAAAAAAAACATACAAAAACAACAACTCTCCAACCTCATCGCCACCAAGCCCCACTCCACGCATCTCCGAACCTCCTTCAAACCCATCTGTATACATACAAGTAATACCCTCCGAAGCTCCTCACCGCCACGGTGCCACCATCGGCCCCACTGGACCCCCCCAGTCGAAACCTCGAAACTTCGGCTAACACTGGAGTCCCGATTCACTTCACGTCGCTTCTCACCTGTCTTTGAAGAGCATGTCGCGCGGGCTCCCTAAGCTGAGGCCCAAGGTCACCGAAGGCCGAGGTGCTCGGTCCTGCACGAGGCCCAAGCGGGGGGGGGGCTCGCTTTGACCCGGCGAAAGAGGGAAGGTGTGAACCGGAGGCGTGGAGAAGAAACGCGAAAAGGGTGAGCCGGCAATTGTCCTATTTTAGAGCTTTTTTATACGAACTTTCCCCTTTACAAAGTATCCACAAGTTGCTTTACTGCGATGCAAGCAGGTTATGACACCCCCTTGTCTCTGCTGAGCCATGTGATGCCAAGCATGGCAACACCTCAAAGTGCCATCGACTTGAGCACCGGGATCAACGGTCCTTGTAGTTATCGTGGTGTGGCGACTTCTCTTCCAGACCATTCCTCAGTTGAGAGCTGG